ATGCACTTCAATTAATTCTTTACCCGATCTGGACAAAAGTAGATCATTCATGACCAGACTAGAGAATTTATGTCTGGCTCCAAGGAAGTCATCAAATTTCAAATTCAAGATGTCTAAGTGTAATACTTTAAACTTGAGGGTCTATATGTAAACACCTACAAACTTTAAAGGGTCTAGATGTTGACGGCATGGTCTAAGTGTTACGTATATACAAATCTCTCATAAATTTGTACGTAATGTTTTAAATGTCAAATAATCTAGATAATTAAATGACAAATATTAAGAGATGTAGATGTAATCCCCCCCCCCCCCCCCCCCCCCCCCCCCCCCCCCCCCCCCCCCCCCAAAAAAAAAAAATGCATTCAAGATATTACACCTTGTAAGCAATCACAATTCTCTGCCTCTTTACGGACAACATCCAGAACAGAATCAATCAACTCGGCCCCTTCAGTGTAATGCCCTTTGGCCCAGTTATTTCCAGCTCCATTTTGGCCGAATACAAAATTATCGGGCCTGAAAATCCTTCCAAATGGCCCAGCTCGCAAGCTGTCCATAGTTCCGGGCTCCAGGTCCATCAACACAGCCCTAGGGACATATCTCCCACCACTTGCCTCATTGTAGTACACATTCACCCTCTCAAGCTGAACGTGAGAATTGCCGGTGTAATTTCCGGTGGCGTCAATGCCGTGTTCATCGCACACGACCTCCCAGAACTTGGCACCGATTTGGTTACCGCATTGCCCCGCTTGGATGTGAAGAATTTCTCTCATTTTCGAGTTCAAAAATATGTAATACTATGTAAAATTAACAAATTGATGTACACAAGTTTGGAATGACAATTTAGAGCAAGAGAAAGGGGGAGAGCATAGAGGAATGAAGGGAGATGGCCTTATGTAGTAGATCAGAAGGGATAGGATTTGATTGAGACAGTGATATTCTCTATCTCTCTCTCTCTCTCTCTCTCTCTACCAAACACAATTGGGAAAATAAGATATTAGCGTAATTAATAATTTCATGTGATAGTGTTTTTGAAGGCCATGTTGAAACCCAACAAGATTGGTGAGCTAGCTGGACAAGAACGAGACAGCTAGATACATGATAATTCATCTGGCACCATTCAAGCTAAGATTACCAAAACATCCTTTGCAATCTTCTCGTAAGTGATATTGTTCTCTCTCTCTTTTTTTTTTTTATTGAAAGATGTACGGTCTAATGAGGCTACTATGAAATATTTACTCATGGATGGGGCAAGCTCTTCTATTCTGGTTCATGGTTTCTCTTAACTATATGGTTCATCCGGGGGGGAGATCGAACTTCAAGAAATAGTAAACGGTCTTATCAATACACAAATGTATAACTCCCCAGGAATTTCAATTGTGCTCATATTCATTACTGTAGGAATTGGGTTCAAGCTTTCCCCAGCCCCTTCTCATCAATGGAGTTTAGCAATCAGGGGCGTTCACATCAATTTATGTATACCTCGATTAATCCCCTTCTCAGTTCAGTCAAAAGCAAGTCATTTACGTCAGGATTAGAGTATTTATGAGGGATTGAAAGAGTTGTCAAGATTCGAACTTAGTACATCTGAATTTACAGTTTATCTATATTATTACTTAAACTACCTTTTATGTTGATAATAGTCCTATTTGGCATGAAAAGAACACATTTTGTCCTATTTTCAATTCAATTCAATTCCTTTTAAGCTATGAGTTTGGTATTGTATCAAAAAAAAACTTATTCTGTGAATAAGTTATGACTTGATTATATTAAGTTACGGTTCAATAATATCAAAATTACAACTCAATCAAGTTAAAAATATGTGGGAAAGATATTAAGTTTTTTGGGGCGATCCTAAGCCTTTAGGCCAATTTTGAAATGATCCCATTGAGTTGTAACTTGGTTTTCACAGAAGTTAGAGCTCCTTTGTATTACCAAGTGAAAAACCTACCTAAGACTTAAATATAATTGTATATTTTCGTGATAATTTTTTAAAAAAAAAAGAAGAGGAACATGGTGATTAATGTTAAAATGAAATTCAGAGGAACTTGGGTCATTTGGGGATGTGACAAGATAGTCATACCTTATTAAACTGAGAGATCATGTTAGGTGGCATGATGATTAATATGTAAGTTTGAGATTAATTGGATGAGGCAGGTGGGAAGCTTCAATAATTGAAGGCATGAGTGTCACTATCTGCAGCTGCCTTTGGGGAATGATTGGCCAGCTGGTGATGGCATCCAATGTTGTCTTCCTTTTCTTTTATTCTTTTATTTTTTTGCTGTCAATTTTGCATGAAAATATGAAGTTGGGAAACAAAACCTGATCTTCTTCACGAGAGAGAGAGAGAGAGAGAGAGAGAGAGAGAGAGAGGAACTAATCCTTTGTTGTTATGAAACTTGATATAATGCTATAATTCTTTTTAATTAGTAGCGAGATGGATAATCGTATAACATAGTATTTGGATGATTTGGTAATGTATGGTATGGCATCCAAGTTCTAGTAGAAGATCACAGGTGAGGGAGCAATGATGGAGTACAATGACGGAGGAATGCTTATCTGCCTTGGTGGCGTTCGAGTTCGGAAATCAACCTCTCAAAATGAGGGTAATATTTGTTATCTTTGTACTATACTCTTTTGGACTTTAATTAGACGACAATTTTATGCACCGAGTATGACATTTTATCTACAAAAGATCAAGCAAGAGGAATTTGAATATGAATTGTTCAATTCATCAAATATCACCCTTTTTTTATTGGGATGGAACTGTGGTTTTTGTAAAACAAGCTGATAAGAATAAGATGAAGAGATGATGTGATAGATATGCTTCTACAACTTGTGCTGTTGGAGCATTGTTTTCAGTGAACTATTCTTGGGATAGTTATTGGTTTGGCATCAAGTTGGTTGTGGCCCATATGAGAGATGATTATGAGGTAAGCTGTATGTATCTAAAATTGAATCTCCATAATGCTAATATGTTCCCCCACACAGCAACCACCTGCCTGCCAATGCTCATTTAGATCCATCTGATCTGACTTTCTTTTTTTAGGCAATTATTAGTTTTTACAGTTTTACCTTGATCAAGAAAAGTTTTCTGAATTACCTACAATCTATATCGACTAAAAAACTATATTTTAACCCGATAAAAAATAATAAATTTGGTCGTGTTTAAAGAAGATTTATTAGTCTTCTTTGGAGTTGGTTTAAAATTTTAATTTTTTTGGTTTCAGAGAAAAAGAAGTTTGGTTCGTTTGGACCCGAGTTTATTAGACAACTTTTTCATCGATTCTTTGGGTAAATACAAGTGAAAATTGGAAATGAGTCCCTCTAGATGTACTTATTTAGAGATAAGTCCTACAAAAAAATTTATAAGGGGTTAAGTCCATGTTTAAAATTATATGTAATGACTTGAGTCTACTTTTTTTTTTATCTCAAAAATATCCTTCTTTGAAATGAAATTAATATTTTCTCTCTCATATCTATCTATATCTATATATAAGTTAAGAGTTTGACTAACATTAAAAATTTCTCTCTCCCCTATCTATCTATATATATATATATATACTAAAACATTAAAAAAATAGTAATATTCAAAAACAAAAAAAAGTTACTATGAATTTAAATAGTAAAATTCAAATTCATTTTACTATTTTTGTTATTATATTATTGTTCATGTTACTGCTTTTGTTAAGTATGTTACTGTTCATGTACTATTATTTTTGAGCATATTACTACTATTATTTTCCTAAATATTAATATCTAATGTTACTATTTTTTTTTTTAATATTACTATTTTTTGTATTTGAATGGTACTATTTTTTGCGTTTGAATTCAAGAGAAATAATTATTGTTAAGTATGTTACAGTTTTTGTTAAGTATGTTAATATTTTTGTTGAACATGTTACTGTTGTTATTTTTTAAAAATATTAATATTAAATGTTTCAATTTTTTTTATGTTTAAATGTTGCTATTTTTTTGTGTTTAAATGTATTATTTTTTGTGTCCAAATGATAACCTTTTTTTATATTTAAATGTTAATATTTTTTATATATAAGAGGGAAAATTTTAGTTAGTCAAATTTTTAACCTATATATAAATATAAATACATATGAGAGAGAAAAGATTTTAATGTTAGTCAAACTCCTAAGATTTAGGAGTTTTTAATTTTTAAATTTATTTCACTTCTAAAGGAAAAGGATAGTATGGTAAAATTGACAAAAACAGACTTCATAACAAATAAGTTTCTTTGATGGATTTTAGTCTAAACAAGTCTATACAGGGGACCGGCTTCCAAATTTCTCTAAAAACAACTTTTATCACCACTAAAAATGAGCTGAAAAATAGGGTTTATCTAAGGGATTCCAAGAAAAAATCAATTTTTTAGAAATACTCTAAACAGTTTCAAAAAAAATTTTAACTATAACCTTTTTATTTTATTTTTCAAACCTCTATTTCGCACCAAAAATATCAATTCCAAACGGGCCATTATTGTTATCTACGGATTTAGATCCTGCAGTGCATTTTTTTTCTTTTAATTTGTTTTAGTGGTAGATTACCCATTATTAAGTCAAGTGAAACTCACTTTGGAAAAAAGTTTCTTCCTAATGCAACAGTTAACACCATCCACCACCATAATAGTACAAAGAACCGATTAATATATACTGATGATGAGTTTGCCCCAGTATTTTGTGAGCAAAAATTTGGTGTAAATGGTCTGTAAGAGGTGCATTATTGGACTTAAAATGACATAGAAACACCTTGGACACAACCCAAGGCATAAGGTGGTCTGGTTATTCCAAGTTGCAGCAGTCCAGGTAACGACTTGACCCACCCATCTCTCTATCACACACACACACACACACATATATGAAGCAGATAATTGCATGGCTATCTACCACAAATATTGGAAACAACATGCAGGTGGGTACAATTAGTTGGCATGGGTCGAACATGGCACATGCAGGGGGGAGGGGGCACATGGTCCTCTGATACGAATAGGCAACAAAATATATATGACAACAATGGCCTGGGAACATGATAAACATAGTCCCCTTGACCAAATATCCTCTTCCACCAATGTAAAACAATGCAGTTTGGCATAGTTCCTCAATGTTGTGAAGTGGTTTTTCAGGATTGAAAGTTTTACAGCTTAACTTCCATGTAAAGAAAGAAACACAAGATGCTATATGATGCATGGTGAAGAACCATCAGTAGAGCAGCTCCTCAAAAACTGGATCCACACTTTCTCCCCACTTCCCATAATACAACTCCAGAAGCTTCTCAGCTGGTGTCACACCTGTGAGTATATATTAGGGGATTTAATTTAGGGAAATACTATTTGCACCTAATTTAGTAACTTTACTTACTGATATAATAGATTATAGTCATTGAATTGAAAGTGAGTCCCAATTAATAGTGGGGTCCACTATCGATCTAATGACAGAGAATAATAAATTCAACAAATAAGGTCCACGTAGCATTGCTATTTAATTTAACAGTGATGACACCCCAAGTAGCACATGTTATGGAGATAGTCCATAGACAACCTTACAAGACTAAAAGAGAAGAATGCCCAATAAATTCCTATTTTAATTATATGGACCATTCATTATGTCAAAAATCTTTGTACAGCTTTCAAAAAAACTTCCTCACAACAGTTAAAATTCGTCAAATATCTATTTTTGTAATAGTGATACCATGTTAGCATTATCACATGGTATCACCAACCAATAACAAAATACTAAATGCGTAAGGTGAATTCCACTTGAATAAATCTTGACTTACATGAAAAAAGAGTGGGTAGTTGTTGACTTACATGGACGAATAGTTATTGGTTTGTGTAGAGTTTGTTTTCTTATTTGTTTACACATTATTTGTTGGTAATACCACATGACAATTCTGACACAGTATCACCATTACATTAAATAATTTTTCCTTTTTTAGGGGGACTTTAATGCACACTTGTGAATCAAAATTATAACATTATAGTTACATTTTGGTCTTCTCTTTTTCAATTCTATAAATGGGATAAATTAGTGTTTGATATGATGTGACAAATTCAGTTTGTAAAAGAAATTAGATTTGTTTTCTAAAATTTTTTTTGGGTAAATTACACTTTGACCCCCTCAATTATGACTCTTTTTTCACATTATCCCCTCAAATATTATGTTTTTTTATACTGCACCCTCAACTATATAATTAGGTTCACATCGCCCCAATTCTTAACATCCTCTATATATTTAACGAAAAGTTATTTTATTTTACCACCCTCAAGTATTTAGAACGTGTGATATTAGAGCTTTCAACTAGCTTGCATTAGGACACCCACTCAAAGCGACCAATTTAATCATGTTTATTACACAAAACTGTTAGTCCAACTCAATCTTGGCTCGTTTTAGATAAGGCCGGGGTTCAGGTCACTTAGGTCTCTAATATACAATCCAATCACGATTGAATTCTTTCCTTCACAACTTGAAATTGATTTTGAATGTAGTATGTTTCAGCATTTTTTGCAAACTTTTTCCATGGTAGATGTGTTTAATAATGTTTCATTTTTATCAATAACGTCAAAAAAAAGATTAGCATTCCTTGTGATTCCTTTTAGTTTAGGAAACCTCAAAAAAAGCTCCACCAGGCCGCCATTGAATTTGTTGTACCACTTTCAACTAGAACATAGCAGTGACAGGATAACTCAACACACCTATGTATCGCTACAGATGATTGCAGTGTCAAAAAGCATATGTTAAACATATACTTTGAAGCATCTTGACGTGAATGAATTACCTGTTCGGACCACCTCAGTCACTGCATTCAAGAATCCTGTCTCCTTAAACCCTCTCCTCTCCAAGCCATCCTGCATTTTAGTAAATAAAGAACATCATGAACAAACAAGAACGGAAAGATGATTTGTTATAATCATCATAATCATCGTCGTGGTCACTAATAACAGTAGCAACAACAACAATTTTCAAGTAACCTTTGCCAACTTTAGAACATCTTCAGCAACATCTCTCAGCAATCCATCTTGAAATGGTGTCTTCAGACCACTCTTTGGTACCTACCACAGAGTTTTGGAATTGAAGTGAACTCTCAATTGCTGAAAAGATGCTATTTATCTCAACATTATAAGATACAACTTAAAGGGATGAAGGCATATTTGCAAATCAAAACCAGAGTATCATCATTCAGTAGTATAGTCATTGAATGAGAGAGAGACAACTTTGCAGACTCATAACCTGACAAATACAATGTAACAATGAACTACTAGAACTAGGGGTTCACTACAATACCAAGATGTTATACAAAAGAAAGGGGGGTTCCCAGCAGCACCATATGATCTTAAAATGGGTAGATTACCTTATTCCTCAACAATTGTCTTTCTTGGGAGGTCCAATCAGTTGTTATGTCCAGAAAATTTTGTAAAGAAACCTCATCATACAATAGACCCACCTGAAATACAGTAACAACATCATAGTGCACTGATTCACAGAAGGAACTAAGCATTAATAACAGCATTTAACACAAACTAAAGAGATATGCAAAGATGGAAAAAAAAAAAAAGAAAATCCCAATAATTATATGGGGTTGATTTACTAACTCCAAATTCTATAGTGTTAAATTTTGAATAATCAAGACATTAGGGCAATGTATTTCATAAATTAAAGAGGTCCCACACCCAAAATGCAAAGAGTGCACATAAACTCCTGAAAGGTCCTCCATCAGCACCCCTCATCTCCAAGTATCTTTTAAGCCTGACCTGGAAAGAAAGAATGACATAGTCGCATGTTAATCATTACCATCCGGGATATATATGATTACATAATTTTTATAGTAATATCATTGAAATTAAGGCATTTATGCAAATTAATCTCAAATGCATTTGTGAAACCTCCGGATATATTGTTCCCAGATGAACCTCCCAATCATTGAAAGTTGGATGTTCACCCGGAATAGAAGGAAGTTTTCCCGCCATAAAATCCTAAAAAAATGTCAAGGATTATCTCTAGTACCAAATAAATGAACAATAAGAGAGTTCAAGGCCAAAGAAAATCTCAAATCACTCAAACAAAAAAATCTATGGATAGATGAAAACCCGGAAGAACATTCCAGAACAATCAATATACTTCTTTTTCCGGTAGACAAAATACATTGGGACATTGAGAGAATAATCGACATACTGTTCAAACCTGTGCCCATAAAGAAAAGAGCATCAATAAATAGATCACAATCTTTCAAGAAAAAAAAAAAAAGCAAGAAATAAGTTGTTCAAAAAATAACACCCATTTTAGTCCCCATTAATGGGAGTCATGTCGAGACTGGTCACCTCAATCTATTAAAGTCAATTTCCCCACACCATACCCCATAGCATTTGCTAATTAATCTGTTTCATCTCAGAAAAGGATAAATCTTACCCAAATGAGTCATCAAAAACAAAGGGAAGCATTCCAGTGCGATTCTTATCAGTATCGGTCCAAAAGTGGCTAGTGAAACAAAGAAGAAATATTACATCCAAAGCCAGCAAAATCAATAAAAAGGAAAAAGAAAGAAGAGACTATGAGAAGCAACAAACAAAGGGTAACAAGTGAAAAAAAAACCTTCTCATGCTGAGATAACCATTAGGCTTTCCATCTGTGAAAGGTGAATTGGCAACAGAGCTGTTGCAATCTGCCTCATTTAATACACTGGTTAGATTAATTCACATAAACCATATTAACTAATTTTCCAGCGAAGAGATAGATGAAAACAAGGTTTCTCACAGGCTGCAAAGCAAGACTAGCACGAAATTTCCTTATCATGTCAGCTTCAGAACTAAAGTCCAGATTAACCTAACAAAAACAGATTGTATCCATATTTAATTACCTTTCAGTCAGGAAGACACATCGTAGACTGATAGACATTTATTCAAACAGACTATACACATAAAAGTTATATCAAAAGAGCTTAACAATAAGGCATTTTCAACAATTCAGACAATAGATACCCCAAAGAAGGAATCATATTTCTCTTACCTGAACAGTACATGTCCTGAACGCCACATCAAGTGCAAGAGAGCCAACTTTGGGCATGTAATTTGTTATAATCTCAAATCTTGCCTGACTCATTGAACAAAGAAAAAAAACTGACATTAATTATTTTTCGAAGTGTATAAATATTATATTATATATTTTTTTTTTCCAATAACTCAAACTTTTAGAATAGACGGTGATTTAACTCGTAGCATTCTAAATATCTTTTGTAACCATTTCTTAGGTAAGAAGACTATAATCCATCAAGAACAAGACATGATATATACAAGTATATATTCATATGTACATATTTTACAGAGATATATCATTACCTTGGGCATCATGGGTATGTCTCTCAGTCCCCATTTTGGCGGGCAACCAATGCCTAAGAATCCAGTTCCCATCTCTTCTGAAACAGTTTTGACCTATGCAATATAATCATGCAAAGATATTAATAGCTAACTTAAACGCAACAATATTTACCTTGGGATAGAGTTTTATTAAGAAAAAAAATAGCAATTTCATCATAAAATCAAAACAGAAACATACATATTTAATTGCTAGGGGTGTCCACGGGTGGGCCGAGGTCTAATGCTTAAGGAAAATAAGCAATACATAGATCGAAATTATTACAAATCAACTATGGAAAGGACGGAAGCCAAGAGACTGATTGAAAGAAAGAAAGAACGGACAGCTCTATTGATTGAGACATGAGTAGGGTAGGCCCAAACTCTTATTTAGGTGAGTTAATGGGCAGGACGGAACGGATTTCGGGTAAGGATAAACTATCCACAGCCCAATTCGTCTCTCAGTGGGCAGATCTATTGGGCGGGCCTTTACATATATACTTTCATTTAAAAAAAAATTAAATTAATATTTTTATAAATTATATTAAAATAAATAATGAATAATTTTATTTAAATAAAATAGAGTTATATTATCACATTATATATATATATATATATTATCACTAAAATTTCAAAGTTTCAATGGCCAATTTTTTTTCAAACAATTGGGTGGAAGGATTAACTGGTTGAGCTGGGATGGTTTAGACAGGCTTTTGGTCGGGGTTTTAAAAGATTTTTGTGGGAGGGCTCATAAGTCAGGTTTCGAGTCGGTTAATGGGTTTGAGGGCAAACTCAAATCCTCTTTTAAAATATATTGGGCTCGAGTTCGAATGGATCAACTATTGTACGTATTGGACTTTAGGCCAAATAATGGGACTCGTGGGCCAACCCCACACATAAACACCTCTACTACATGGGAAAAATTATGAAAAGGCACACCCTTTCATACTTATTTGTGTAAAAGTACCTCAATATAAAATATGTGTATAAGTACCTTAATGTGTAAATGTTTGGTGATGAGGTACACTTTTGCTGAATTGTAATTTTTTCTCTTATTAAATTGCCCTTTTCTTTTATTAATGGGAGACAAATATGACAGTTATATAGGAATTCAGGGATTATTTGTTAATTGTTTTTGTCCTGTGTTTTGTGTTTTTGTTTTCAATTTATGTCAAAAATGAATACAAAAATATGTTTGGTAACTGTTTTTAATTTTGTTTTGTTTTCGTTGTATTTGAGATAAAGACAAAAAAAATGGGAACAAAAAATTTTTGTTCCAGGAAACACGCAAAACAAAAACACACGCAAAAAATGATTAATGAGATTCGGGTTTCGTACTCCCTTAGCAGCAAAAATTATCTTTTTTTGTGAACGTATTTAAACCCACCTCATTTCTCTCCCATCTCCATCGCTACCTCACTCTCTCTGTTGAAACACTCCATCACTGCCTCACTCTCTCCATTTTCTCACCGTCACCGACAGATTTCCTCTCCTCTCTCTCACCGACGGACGTAAGCCCCTTCTTTTTCTCTCTCTTTCTCCCACTCTCATCTCATCTCCTCATTCTCTCTCTCTATATATACACACAGATTTGTGTATATATATGTTTCTATACACAGATCTATGCACATATACATCTATATACACATATTTGTGCAACATATATGCACTGATCTATGTGTCTTGCGTGTGTTTTCTGTGTGATTTGTGTGTGTGTATGTGTGTGTGATCCATTTGACCCAATTTTTAAATCCCTCTCTCTTCAGTTAGCCCCTTATGTTAAATCCCTTATTCTTCCTCTTTTATCTTTAATTTTCTATCTAATTGTGCAAGCCTGTGGATCTGAATTTGAAGAAGTTTCGATTCCTCCTCATTTGATGGTTGGAACTTCTAAGGCAAGTATCTATTTAGCCCTCCAATAAATATCTGTCTCTTGATTACAATATTTTCAATGCACTCAAACTTCAAATTTGGTGATTTTAGGCATTATTTGATTTTTTTGCAGCGGCACTTTCAAAATTTGTTGCCACAAAAGGTGAAGATGATAATCTTTCACCCGGTAAACAAAGGGAGCTTGGTTTCACATTTTCCTTTCCAATTAGCCAATCATCAATTGCATCAGGGACTCTCATTAAATGGACCAAGGGATTCTCTATAGAAGATGTGGTTAATCTCAAATATCTTTATTGTTTTATGTGTAATCATAATTAATTATTCGGTCATCTCTATATGCAATAACTACTTTAATTCTAGATCCAAATTAAGTGGACTAATACTATTTAACAAATTGATAACAAATCCATCTATTGGGAATTTTGTTAGGCATAAATACTTATGTTCTGTTCTGTCTTTCTTCAATGTGATTATTGGCAATAGTCATGCTAATTTCATTTTTTTTCTTCAGGCCTTAGTTTGGTGATTCTTTACTTCCCTTGTGGCTGGACACATACTCACTTGTAAAGAAGGCAGTGAAAAGACACTGAAAAAACTTGTAAATATTTGGTGTAAAATATTTGACCTACATAGTTTGGTTTAAATGTTTGTTGATATATGCTCTTGAACTTAAGACCATACAACGTGCATGTTTGGTTTGCTAATTTCATTTAGTTATTGTAATTAATTGTCACGAGAATGAGAAGAAAAAAAATAAAGAAAGAATATGAAGAAGCGAGTATTCTTGAGATTAGTTGTTTGGAATGGAGCCTATGTGTGTTTGTTTGTCCTTGGGCATGTCGAATGGAGTTGTTATTATCCTATAATTTCAACCTGTATGCATTTAATATGTCATATCTTATCAGAGGCATATCAACATGTTTCTTTGCATAAAATTTGAAAAGAAAAGTCTTTAACTAAGAATTACATGCTAGGTTGCAATGCATAGAGAGGTTATTCTTATATTGTCTTCTTTTTGGTTATATTTGTTATACTATCTTGAATATGGCTGCTAGGGTGATAATGATCAGAGTGGCTGTGGTCTTTTTGATGGGTTGCTGGACTAGGTTTTCTCCTTTGTTTCAGTAGATATTTGCTATTCTGGCATTTTTCTACTGTGAGTTGAGCTGAGAGCTTTGGTGCAATAACTGAGCTATAGGATCATAGCACAGTAAGGAGATGTTGGTTCAGCAGCTAGAGGAAAGCAGTTCTAGACTTTGGGTTATGTCAGCAGGCAGGTTATGGTTGCTTGGGCCATGGATTTGGATAGCTGGCAGCTGGACTGTTTGGATTAGTTTTTGGTTTTAATCATTATTGAAGGATTAAAGCCAACTCCTTTGTAATTAAAATTTTTGAATTCTTTTGCTTCTTGTAACTCCTTTGTAATACATGGTTGTAAATCATTTTTCATGAAATAAAGTGTTTATTTGTTTGACAACAAAAAATGAGATATTATAAAACATATTTAGGATAAAACTTGAGGTAGTTACCAAACATGTTTTTTGTTTTTATTTTCATAATTTGATAGACAAAAATAACTACCAAACATGTTTTCTGTTTTAGTTTTTTGAAAACGCAAAAATAAAAACGTTACTAAACGACCCCTCAGTTCCTAATTCTATGGTATATCGTTTTTGAATTTTAAATTACCTATCCATCTATAATTGAACAACCGTTTATTAAAACAATCATTCCATATTTATTCCGCTATCATTCAAACCAAAAATATATGTCAATAACACCCTCCCGCCAATCAATGTCATCATATTATAAACCAAAATGTCACAATGATACCTTCTAACGACAATGGTACTAGCAATGACACACTGTTACCATCCAAAATTCACACTGTTACCATCCAAAAAGTCACACTACATTCATATAATTTTTTTTATTTATGTCTTCCCTACATTTATATAATTTTTTTTTTTTATTTTTATAAATCGTAATAAGAAATATATGTTTTCACCTTATATAATACTATTGATTGTTACGAGCGTTTTTTTTCATGAATATTTTAAATTTAAATTTAGTACAATGGTACATGTCACATTGACACAGTAATACACAACAATGTCACAAATGCTACAAGCCAATGTCATACTGCTACAAGCTAATATCACACCGATACAAGCCAATGTCACAATAAAAAGGATGTTAGTGATGTTTTTGATAATAGAGAGAGTGTCGTTACAAATATAGTAAACTAGAAAGGGTGTGGTTGAAATTTTTCCAAAAAATCATTACACCTCTTGAAGGCTGCCTCCATGGTCTGCAAGCCTTAAAGAAGATAAATCATCTCAGAACCCTCCCTTTTCATATACAAATTTACGGTGGTTTCTACAATCCATGACCCTCCTTTGCGGTCCACCTCAACATCAAGAATGTTCAGAACCTTGTGCTTCAACTCCTTAGAATGTTTTACGATCTCGATGAGTCCTTTTGATCGGAAACAAAAGGATTTGGACTCCGTTGATACTTTGATCGAGAGTTGATTTTTCAATAAGAGAAAATTGTCTGGATCCATTGGAATTAGGACGTTTTGAAAGAATTGAGGTTTTAGGGAAGTTTTCTTATCAATCTTGAAATAATGGAGGTTTCAGCGATATTAAAGGAGTTTTATGGGTAACAGTTGATATCCTAATATTTCGATTGTGGAGGCAAAAATATAGGAATCGGCTCCCATTTTACTGAAGGGAGTATTTTAGAGATTTGTTAGAGGTTGTGTACTTTTTGACCTATATTTTTAAAAGTGGTACTTTTTGCCCAATAATTTCTAAAAAGGGCACCGGCCCCCTTAAAACCCTATTAAATGTTATTTAGACCCCAAAAATTGAACTAATTTGTTGACATAATGTAACAAAGTTCCAATATTTGATGAACATCATAGTCAATCCAAAGGTCATAGAGAATTAAGTAGTAAATTAGATCAAAATAGAATTGCTCAATGACAATATATGATATATGAGTGTTCATATTAACGTACTTATATATGTATGAAAACCAACTATTGGAGGAACCTGATTAAGATGTGAATTAAGCTCAGCACACGTCTGATGCAGAGTTTCAACGGGAGCACCACTTAGCTCAAGTTGACCACCAGTCTCAAGTGAGATGCTTTGCTTTCCCTGACCAGCAACCATATATAAATATATATATATAGAGAGAGAGAGAGATTTCTCTAGAGTTGTTGCAAAACACAAGAGAAAAAGAGGGTAAACCTGTTTGAGTCCAATAATGTTGTGGCCTTCCAGTACTTTATCCCAATCAAATCTCTCAGAAATGGCATTGAGCAACTCTGCTATTTGTTCGTACTTCATGGGACGTAAAGTTCCAAAATCAAAACCGAACTTTTCATGTTCAGTACCTATTCTGCAAAACCACCATCATTAAGCCAAAGATGAGTTAAAAAGAAAAATGAAAAGGTAAATCATACCCAGACCCTTGAGATCCCTCATATTCGACAATGGCTTTCTATGTCCCTTGTCGTCTCACTCTAACCCTCAACTCTCCCATGCCAAACCAGCAAACCCACAACCACCGCCAACTCCACTCTCTTCTTGTACCACAGCAACGCCAACCAGAGAACCACCACAGCATCGCCAGCGCCATAACCACCACCACAGTATCGCCACAGCAATAGCCAGCGCCAGCACCACCTCCACCAACGCCATCACCATCACCATCACATGTATTATTTTCCTCCCCCTCTCTCTGCTACACCCAAACCCATACCCAGATCCTAAAACCCCCCAAATTCAAATTTAATATCGGGTGGCATCATAGTTGGATTTATTTTGTACCCTTTGGTAAAAGGGTAAAAGGGTCATTTTATAACACCAATCCGTTTGCCTTCTGTTAGTAATAGGGATTCTAATTTGTCAAATATGATGAGATGTATATAATTAAGTGATAAATCTGATCTAAGTACCCAAAAAAATAAAGCATCCAATACCAAAGTTTCAAGCAAAACGACATGGTAAGAGGAAGGAACTATACAATATAAGACTTGCACAAATGTTCAAAATTTCACATAGTTTCTTGGTAGTCGGGAGATCCCATAACTTCTCCTCAACGAGTAAAAGTGTACTTATGTCGTTCAGGCTCGTGACTTTGAGTAGAACAAAGGGTAAAATCCGGTGTATAAACAGGTTTCTTAACTCATACACTAATTAAATTAGGATTTGTATTTCGTCGGGAACTCAAAACACACACCAGAGACTTGAATACAGTTTGTCTAAGCAACTAAGGTTTTGCGCTACGAAGTAACCACACTTTTGACATCCAGGGGACTTCAAACCCCAGAAAATCAACTTGAAAATGAGTTTCCGAGAATTACAATAGAAATAGAGAAAAAAAATTAAAAATTTATTTCTAAAACATAAACACATCAAAAATACATTGTCAAAATATAACAAAAACACTTCGATATAGAGTAATTTTAGTATTGAATCACTAATTCGATTTCTATAAAAAAACGAAAACGGGAGATAAATTTAGTTTCACCTCCAGAGTTCCTTGGGCTTGCATCCAGAACCAAGGAATCCAACAAGATCCTCTTTTGTCAATGGCTCTGTAGTGGTCACAGCTTCCTCTGTAGGAGGACTTGCAGCAACAATCACTGGATTTCCTCTTCTCCATCCTTGTCTAACACCAGCTCTATGCAAATTGTGCAGTGTCTTTGAGGATAATTTCCTTGATAATGAAGGCAAACCCATGCAAGTTTGGTTCATCATTTTGGATGCCTCCATGTGGTTTGTGATGATACATACAAACTGTAAGTGGTAGCAGCTTATAAACACAAAAACATTTGGTACCTCCTTCAAAAGTAAATTGTCACATGGTTCTTGTGTTTGTATTTTTTAATCATGAAGGATGCAACTAAACCCATTATTAAGAAAGTAATTTGGAGAAATCACGAATAGTACTATATAACACATGATTTATATATGTGAAACGACAAAGATTTATAATATTTGATACATCCTTCAAACATAATTGTCACATAATTCTTGTTTTGTTTTTTCAATCATGAAAGATTAGTTTACAAACTCGAGAAACCTAGAGTCACTAATCAAAAGAGTCTTTAGTGCTAAGCAATTAAAAGGTTAAATTACAATTTTACCCTCTCAACTATTGAAGTTTTTATATTATGTCCCCTCTACTACTTTGAATATTTTACATTACCTCAATCGCAAATTTATGTTATCTTTTTAGGTGGAAATTACTGACGAGTTTGGACAAAGTAAAATAAATTACATAATTCGGGGGACAAAAAAAAATAATTTTTTGTTAATTATGTAACAGAAGTTAATAGTTTGGGCAATGTAAAAATAATGATGTAGTTGAGAGTGTAATATGAAAAATATGATAGTTGAGAGGATAAAATGAAAAAATTCATAATTGAGATGATCAAAGTATAATTTTTCCCATCTAAAACTATTATCAAAAAGAAGTTTGGAGGAATCTTGCTTTGGAATTTCACCCCCACCCCATATGGAAGTTTTTATTAAAAATTGTTCAGTCGAACGTATTAAACTTAAAGTAGTACAAAAGAAAGGTTTGTTTAACAATAGCACTAATGAAGTTTGGATTTGTTTTCCCATCCTTCACAGTGAGGAGAATGATGACATATTTACTGCATGTTTTATTTTTGAAGTTGATTTTTTGTTGGTTGAGGTCTGTCCATGGACATTCAATTCAATACTTGTCATTATCTTTACGTTTTCTTTGTCTTTTTCTTTTTTGATAAATTTTGTTAGTTAATTTCTAACATCATGTAATACAATGTTGAAAGTTGTGTGAGTAGATCTTATTCGTTTATATATTGTATAATACTCACGTAAAAAGAAGATCGTGATACACATCCCGCACCGGGCGTCACCCTCAAGCTATTTTTTAGAGTATTTTTATTAAATAGTCAATTCAAATTATTATTCCATCTTTTAAAACTACTTTTATAATCATATATCAAATAAGTTATAGGATACAAAAAATCAAAACACATTTTTCTAAAACTCTTTTCAAAAACATATTTTTGAATACTGTTTTTTAAAAACATATCCAAATAGACCCTGAGTTTTGAGTTTTTGAGATCGAGATGGGCCATATGAAGTTGAGATCGAGATGGGCCATATGAAGCTGAAACTGGTTGAGAGTTTGGGCAATAGAGCATTGTTTTTGGGCTTGAATTCTTCTCTCTCTGTTGAGGAAGTCTGTAACTTTCAAAGTTATAATACAAAATAAGACAGATTTTAATAAGTTCATCCGACGATTTTAAATAGATTCATTTAACGATCACCAATATCCTTTTTAAAACCATTCATATTATACTGTATATTCAAACACTAGTTACCCCTAATACTGTATATTTCAGCACTGACGGTATGGACGATGGAGGCGGCAAGGACATCATGAGTATTCAAAACTTGCAAGATGGAACCTTCTGAGCACCAGAGTATTAGTAAGGGAGCATCATATAGACTAGGGGTGACAATCATGTAAATGGGTTAGTATTAATAAATGATCAATCCTATTTATTAATTTTGTATCAATTTCAAATCATATTTATGTACCATGTCAGAAGTTATCACTCCTAATATTGCCCCTAGTATAGACCAATCAATCCCCCCTGTGGGTTACACCAAGTTTACGAAACAGGTTACTATTATGCATTGTATCAATGCTCTGTCCTCTTAATGTGCCCTGCTGATTTTAACCCATTTTGATTCTGTCTGTTTTTGTTGTTTTGTTTTATAATAGATGATGTGCCATTAGACTATAGTCTTAAACATGCAAATTTATACGACTAATATGCGAGTTTATATTTTGTTTTTCGGAACCAATTCATGTAGATTAAAGAGAACGTTACGGTACCGGTAAAAAAAATTATGTATTGTACCGCCATGTAAATTTTTTAGTAGTTTTTGTACAATTTTGTTTTTGTTGGAGGGGGGAGGGGGGAGGGGGTAAATTGTCAACTATTTGGTGCTTTTGCAATCCTACATTTAAAGACCTTAGTCTTTTAAGATTGGTTACACACATTAAAAAATTATAATTTCAATATTAAAAATCATAACATTACTCTCAAAAATTGTAATCTTTTTATGACCGATCTTTGGTTGGTCCTAAATTTTATTGTTGTTAGTAGAATGTAAAAACATGTATATTCACCAACAAAAATAGAGTAACGTGTCAAATTAGCAGCTACTCCTCGCCTTTACTACCCTCAAAATTATGCTTACATCAATTAGTATTTTTGTATTAAAAAAGATGGGTTAGGAGAATTTCTATATATGATAAGATATCATATTAACATGAAGTAATTCATATACGTGCCTATCCGAACTTGGATATCGCAAAATTATTTTGACTTTTTTGAGTGTGGATACATTTTTTTAAAACTTATTTAAGAATAAGTGTTTTGATAAATTTTGTACTCTATTAAATTCACTTTTACTAAAACATATTGTTATTAGGTATAAAATTTAGATGACTTTTAATTTATATTACTTATTTACTCTTACTTAAATAATGCATAATTGATTAACAATTTATTTTCTAATTAATAAAGATTTGATTAGATTTTATCATCCATTTGAATTTTAAACATTTATTCTTATTCTCTCACTCTCCTCCCCTTTTTCTCTCCGTTACTCTTACTCTCTCTCCCCTATTTTTTTTCTCTCTTTCACTATCTCTTCCCCTATTTTCTATCCTCAAGGCACAATTACTCTTTCTCTCTAAATCCAAAGTCAGATATCTTAAATGTAGTTGTATTGATACTCCAAAAGAAATACACTGAAGAGATTATAATTGATTGATAATTTATTTTCTTTTTAACTATATAAAAATTTGATATAATCGGACATCGACATTACACTAACAGTTATTTCAACATAATTGGATAACGTTACACCAAATAGTACCATAGAGTTTCCACATGCATTTTGATTGACCAAATAGTTATGTCAAATTTTTACATATTTAAAAAAAAAAATTATCAATCAGTTATGAATTCTTTGGTGTATCTTTTTTGAAGTATCAATACAACGACGTTTAAGAATGTCAACTTCGGATTGAGAGATAGAGAATAATTGTGCCTTAAATACACAATCAATAGAGAAAATAGGGGGAGAGAGAGTGAAACAGTAATAGAGAAAGAATAGGGAGAAAGAGAAAGAGTAACAACTTGTATCTCGCACATTTTTTTACTTTTATTGAACGGCTTTTTGGTCGTTTCCACAAAAATGTATTTAAGGTAAAATAAGTTTAAATTTTTATACCGACTTTCTTTTTTTCTAATTATTTTTGGAACAATACCTCATTTTTCAAACTGTCATGAAATGACAAGTGTAAAGTTGTATTATTTTACTTTATTTTATTATTCTTACTATCAATGACAGCAAATAACTCAAATCAATATCTACGACTGATATTCAATTATCGGTATGATAACTTCATCCGTCTAATAATATAGATGCCAAGAGCAAACTTCTCGGTGAATTGTCATATATGGGGAAGATTGGGTGACTTTTTGATCTGGCATAATAAGATGTCTTTTCAATAGGATCGACTTCAATAATAATATTCAATTGTGAGATTTAAAAATATAAAAATATTTGTCATACGTAAAAAACAGAGTTTACATGACGTATTTTTATAACTTAAATCCATGATAAGTAGCATTATAATGAAACCACCTTGTCACTTTGTCAAGAATCACCTTTTTACGTGGAAAGTTTACGGAAAGAAAATTTAGGGAATGTTTGTTTGATATTTTTGTTTCTTGTGTTTGTGTCTTTGTTTTTAATTTTTGTAAAAATAAAAAAAAAAATGTGTTTGATAATTATTTTTGTTTTTGCTCACCTCAGTTGTCTTAGAAACAAACCAAAAATATATGAATAAAAAAAAGATGTTTCAAGAAACAATGGAAATAAAGACAACACGCGCAAAAAAGTGGAAAATTAATGAAATTCGGACTTCGAGTCCTCTTAACAACAAAACAATTTTTTTTTTGTTGAAATATAAAAACCTATTTCATCAGACCCATTTCAGGTCCTCTCTCCTACCCCTCACTTTTCTCTCTTTGTCACTCCGTTTTCTGCATTAGACCACCAGATGAAGGAGCGCTTCTTCTGCCTCCACCTTCATCGCTTCATTTGCCTCCACGTCCATCGCTGCCTCACTCTCTCTATTGTGTTCCTTGTAGAAGACGAAGAAGCTCTCTCTCTCTTTCTCTCTAGACGATGCTCAGATTTGTGTGTGTGTGTATGTTGTGTTGAGTCTCTGTATATGTGTGTGTGAATGATGAACCTGTGTGTGTGTTATGTTGAGTTTGTGTATGTGTATGTGAGTGATGAGTGTGTGTTTGTTGTGTTCATTATCTGTGTGTGTATTGTGTTCTCTGTGTGTGTATTGTGGTTGCGATTGATTGTCATTTGGTATTAATTGAATTATTATTTAGAATTGTCGAATTGCTAGTTTGATTGAATAGCTATTTGGGATTAAATTACCATTTGAAATTGATTTAATTGTCATTTGAGATTGTTGAATTGTCATTTAAAATTGAATTATCATTTATGATTGATTGAATTGCCATTTGAGATTAAATTTTCATTTGAGATTGATTGAATTGTTATTTGTGACTGTTGACCATATCATTAATTTATCAAATTAATTCAATTCGTTAAATTTCAATATCATTGCTGAAAGAAAAACACAAGAGACTTAAAGATATATATTGATGTAGTTACCAAACCTGTTTTTTTTTTTATTCTCTTAATTTAATAGACACAAATGACTCTCAAATGTGTTTTTTGTTTCAATATTTACCATAAAATAGAGACAAAAATTATCTTTATTTTTAATTTTTTTAAAAACACAAAAATAAAAACGTTATTGTCAACACTATGATAATCAAGAACCTGGCCCATTTTTTGGCTGAGAAGATCCAAGTTTCTAAATGGGTTGGGCCTTAAGGTCACCCTATAAAGAGCAATAGGTTCGCAAGAACGGGTTATAAATAGGCCAGTCTCCACACTCCAACTATCGGATAAATCCCTTTCTCCGGCCGTCGCTCGGCGACACTATATATTTCTGTCGTCGACCAACTATTTTGCGAAATTGCCGAGAGAAGCGTCCCAACAGAGGCATCAAAAGATGGGTAAGAAAGGATCAAACAAGAAAGCAGTTAATTTAACTTCAGGGTCACAGAGTTCAGTAACGCTGAGAGAAGAGTCGAGTGGGAAGAAACAAACCAACGTCAATGTCAAGTCCATGCTGAAATTAGAGCATATAAAGAACATCGCGGTTTGGGCCAGCGGTGAAGCCACCATACCATCATTGGGTGCCTTCTTTGGGCACCGTTTTGCTGCCTGTGCTGAGGCCTTGGGTACACCCCCTGATCCGTCGTTGTTTCCTTGCCAGAGGTTTCACTCTCTCTCTCTCTCTCGACATAGGTTTTTGTGTGTTTATGTGTTATGTTTGCTTTTACAGAATCGAAATTTTTGGAGTGAAATTTGGATTTGACCCATTACAGTAACCAAAGTATTGGATTATAGAATCATGTTGTCATTGTGTTTGTTGTAGCTGTATTATTCAGATGTTTATACAGATTATTTAGCCCTTTGTAGTCAATTAATTGATTCTAGCTCCGAAAGTTTTTTTGTTTCTTGAGTTAATGGAGAACTTGGCACTTGATCCGCAGTAGGAGAAACTGTATTTTTGCTTGTTGAGTCAAGCTTCCGCATTGTGTTGTAGTAATTGTCTTTATATATTGTATTAATCAATTAAATTTTTTTGCTTTTATTGGGGTATTTAGTTACGAAATTATGACGGGCTTTGAGTTTTTTTTTGGGGGAAAGTAAAGGATTTAGGATAAATAACATACTTCTTTTAAGGTTTTCGACTTTATTTTTGTGTATTTATTCAGTAGCTTTTCCTTTTTGCTGCCCAAGTTATCTTCGTGTTGCAATTGGTAATGATTGTGTGTATCTGTTTTGTACAGTATGATGTAGGAAGACATTTTGTGCTACTAAAGAAAGATTGTCTTCGTTTTTCTGCTGTCAGTCTCTCTGAATTTTTTTTCATAATTTGAGATTGTGTGTGATATTGGTCGGCTAAGGTTGTGCTTTTGTTAGTAGGGTCTTAATAACCTTGTCGAGTTGAATCTGCCTAGAATTTATTTGTTGATATCTCTATGAACCGTGCACCAATCTCACGTTGGGAGACATTGTCATTTGTCAGTTGCATAAATGGGGGTATAATTATGATGCTGGATCCAAAGAATCAAGTTGATGTACATATTTTGCATCTCAACAGGGAGGCATCTAAATGGAAACATAGCAACACCTAGACAGATTGAGAGTTCTTCTATTCTGAAAATCCTCAAGTTGTGTAGACACAACTATATGGCATGATTTTATAATTCATCTGTCAGATGCTTGCTTGAAAATTTGAGGACACATTTCTTTTAGTATTAGTCACCTCTTTTAAGTTCAGACACTAGTTTACCAGATTTTCACTGAAATTTGAGTTAACATTTAAGTAAAAAGTTCGATTTCATACAAATGGCTCTAATGGACAAGCAAACTCAAATTTAAACATGGGTGAAATATAACTATTGAATCTTTAAAGAATGAAGAAATCTCACCATTGGTGATTGGAGTAAAAGTTTGTGGTGAAGTTTTTTGGGCTATTTTTTCTCAAATTTAAATTTAGGTCTGAAAAGGGTAAGGGTTGGAGATGCTTATTGGACCAAACTTTATGGATTTGCTTCAAAATTTTCTTTTTCATAGACACTATACTACGCAAAGAAGAACAGGCTTTGACGCAAGGTCTCTCCACCTTTCTTCCAGCATTGATCCAGTTCTTGAAAAGGTCATCCAATACCAAGAGGAAAAGTAGCCATTGTACTTCAGGGGTGGAGGAGGAAAGTTGATGGCAAATGTCTGAAGGAGGGCAACAATTTGATCTCAGCATAAGTCATTCAAATTTATGGCAAAAACTGTGATCCATTGATCTGTCATGCATACAATTGAGTGAGGACATTGGGGATTTATTATAGTCAAAGAACATCCTTGTGTCCCATGGCCCGAACTTCACTTTGCTCGAGGAAGTGCTAAGGCAGGATCAGTAACATAATTATGGTTTTCCAGTCCCCTGAATTTAGTAAAAAAGTCCTTAGCTAAGTCATGTAGCACTATGTCTTACTACCTTAATCCACGATCTTATTGGTTTATGCCATTTTGCAGCCCGTTCAACGTGTTCTGCAACACACCTCGGTGCACTGTCATTGTCTTTGATGCATATGGCCAAACTATCTCTTTGACTTTCTATTGTTTATGATTTTTTTCTGCAGATGTGAATCTATTCTTCAGCCAGGTGATAATTGTACAGTTCGAATTGAAAAGAACCAAAAAAGGGCCCAACACAGACGCAAGAAACCTTGTACGCCCACGCAGAACAATGTGGTTTACAAGTGCCACTTCTGTTCACATCGCAATATCAAGAGAGGGACCCCAAGAGGCCATATGAAAGAGATATACCCCGGCAAGGCAAAACCACCTTCAAAATCAGAACCTGCTAACTGCACAGTTCACAAACCTACCAGCACGGAGACAACTACTACTGGCAATGTTGAGGTTAATAAGATGGATGAGGTTACTTTACCGGAACTGGAAGTAGCCATTGACGGTTCTGCCTCAAAAACTCCGGCAACTCCATCGGTGAGAACGGGTCTGTCTTTGTTGGATGCAAAGATGAGAAAGAGGAATAGGTCAGGATCTAAGAAAGCAGCTGAATCTGAAAGCAGTCCTGTCACAAGAGATGTAGAAAAAGCTTCCAGTGCATCCAACAAACGGAAGAGAAAACCTTGGACTAGTCTTAAGGAAATTGCTGAGAGCAGTGACCAAAGTAACAACCGCGATTTCACCAACTTAACGGTCACATTCTTAATATGAGTGGGGCCTTTGCTTAGGCCTTTTTCTTCGGGGCTTAGAAGGAATGGCCTTCTAGGCCCTGCGTGTCAGGGGGAGCTGCCTAGGTTTGTCCGATTTTCTACAGGACAGTTTTTTTTTTTTTTTCCCTATGATATATTTGATTATTTGTGTATTGACCGTAATACTAACTTAAGCATGTTGAGGAAGACTTCTAACCTTTTTCATATCTTGTGGACGAGTCGATATCCAAAGACTAATGGTTGCATCTCAATATGAATGATTGTTGGGTTTTTTTTTTCCGTGCAGCATAATTAAAGTTATTCAAGGGAAGATGTATAACAAGATTATTAGGGATCAAATAAGAAATATACAAAACTAGAGGGCTTAAAAACTAATTTTGAAAAACTGAATAGGCTATAACACCTTTGGTGATAATAAAGTTGTTAAACACTCGTAAGGTTCAAGTTTGATTCAATTTGTATTCCTTATGAAATGAATTAAATTTGTAAGCTTGTTTGTAAATTAGTCAACACTAAACAACATAAACTCTTGATTAAAGTGAGATTTAATCTACAAATAATTTTGTTTTTATTACCACATAATCTATATCCAAAATACGAGTTATAACTTATCTCCAAAATTAATGCAAATTGAATTTTAAATGTAAAGTTATAATTAATTCAAATTATTTGGGATCAATTACAAATTTTAAGATTGATTAAAATAATTCTGAACAATTATAGTTTTACTTTTATAAAGATATACCTTAATATTTAAAAAATAACACGTGGGTAGCTAACGTGGCTCCGTCATGCTAGTCTCACTGGCGACAAGAAGTAGCAATAAAGGCCAAAAATGGCAAATCTGTAATTCCTCTGGATTCCACGACCATTTCCTAATCCCTACACCGCCTCCTTTATATTTAGCTCCACTTGGCATCGGCGGGTTAAGTCTTGAAGTTTGATATTTTAGCGCTCAAAACACAAACAAAACAGAGAGGGTGAGCGCTATGCGCAACAGGTGGCTCGCAACCAGCGACGACGAGGATGACGCACCACCACCACCTCCTCCATCACGTTCCTCCAACACCGACGAAGTCCAAGAGAATCAAAGGAAGCGGAAAAAACTGAAGCTTAACGAAGAAGAGGAGGAGGAAGAAGAGGAGAGGAGAGAGAAAAAGAATGCGAGAGAAGAAGAACAACCCGAGAGCGGTGACGAGGAAGAAAAAGAAGATGAGGCGGTGCAGGAGGATGCTAAGCCTATTGGAGAGGTTGTTCGGGTCTCTGGAAAAGGCCGAGGAAAGCGCAACCATTACAAGTCATTTGAGTTCGATGGCCTTGAATATAATCTCGTGAGTGATTTACTCTAGATTTTGGTGTACAGATTCTGAATAATTGATTGTTTGAGCACGCGTCTTGGTAAAATGGATTTTGTGATTAGCGAAATTAGGGTTTCGATTCCATTTGTTTGATGACGAGTTTATGCATTACTTGGGCAGTTAAAGTTGATTAGATTATTTTTTTTGAGTTAGTAAACTATAGGTTTTTAATTCAGTGTCTTACGGTCGTAGTTTGAAGCAATGAGGATTTTGCTAGTTGTGTTGATAAGCTTCATACCGGGGACAGGGGCCGATGACTTGGAATTAAGACATGACAGTCCAACCTGGTATTGCGTGGATTTCATTTGCTCGTGGTACCTTTTTATCTATTCTCTTTTTTGATAATAAAAGTCTACAAGAATTCTTCATTGCGGTCTGTGTCCTCGGCTTTGTTTATTTGTGTTTGGCTTATTTTCTGGTTGCGGGTTTGCCAAAGTCTGACTGGACTTAACGATGCCAAGTAATACAACCTTAACTACTCAAACGAGTTTCGGCAATTTTAGCAAGGCATAATACTACCTATAGTTTCTTTTTATAAATTTATGATTAATGACTTAAACTATTTTTTTATGAAGAAACAAAAAATCTTAAAAGAAGTCAAGAACTGGAAAACCGTAATGGGGCAGAACCCAAACGAAACGAGTTTATTACTAAAAATAGAAACAGAACATAATCATTGGAATGGTGAGGGAATTACAAATAAAGTAAAATAGATAAAAAGCATAAAACAGAGCAAATGCAAAATCTAGTTTGAGAGTTGTTTCTTGGGTTGTTGAAGTTGGGGAGGGGTCCTCTCTCTGGCTCATCCTCTATGTATATGTAGGCAATGATCACTGACTGTTGGGACCATCTTTCCCGACCATGCAGTCCTTGCCTAAGGGCCTCACTCTGCAATGGCTACAACGTGTCCTCAAACGTCTATAATTGATGCCTCCACATCGCCACGTTCGAGTACAACTCTGCACATTCCTGAGGTCCTTGGAGATCTATTAACTGTTGAATCACCTAAGACTCCTTCTGACCTTTGTTTAGGCATTAGATCATGTCACATCTCCCCTTTCATATTTTGCATATTTTGGTGGGAACAATTTGTTTTCTGTTTTTCATTTTCATGAGCTCATTTAGTGGAATTCAACCCCTTCTCCCGGTCCCACCATCTCTTTCTCTCACCTATTTTGGTTATATTGTTCATTTTATTTGGTTGTTTTGCAGGAGGATCCTGTGCTTTTAGCTCCCGAGGAATCACATCAAAAGCCTTATGTGGCCATAATTAAGGTAATTGTTGAATTAGAATAGTCTCATTCTCCGTTTTGTTCTTTGACATTTGATCGTTGGAGTTTCTCCCTGTTATTCTGATAGCATTTCTTTCCTACAAAGAGTTGCAGTCCAATTCCCTCAGGAGGATCTTTATCATTTATCCACAATAATGGTCATCAGAGGCTATTTAACTTGCTATTTTGCTCTGAAAATTCAAAGTTTAATAATCCCATCTCTGATAGTTTTATAGGTAGTGGAAATTTCTGATAAAAGTACTTTGTAAAAGGCCATGTGGTGTGCTTGATCTCTGCAAATACTCCATGGTTGAGTTTTGGTATCATAGAATTTGAGTTTCAATGTTCGGGTCCTTGGGCAACTTCTCAAAGCACTTAACCAAGCTTTTTTCAATTCCGGGAGCCTGTTTTCCATCTTAGGGTGATTTCATGTCATTGGATGTCCCTTTGAATTGCCATTCTTAGACATCTAGATGGCTGGGCCATTTTGCTGTTCTGCAAGTGGTTACAGTACTCATTTTTTGTTTAACACCTCTTAGGATGTAATATGAATTTTATGTATATGCATCATTTGGCTGATTCCATTATTGTCTTCGTAGGATATTACTCAAACCAACGACGGGAGCATGATGGTTACTGGTCAGTGGTTTTATCGTCCAGAGGAAGCAGAGAAAAGAGGTGGTGGAAATTGGCAGTCAAATGATACAAGAGAACTATTCTATAGTTTCCATCGCGATGAAGTGCCAGCAGAAGCTGTGATGCACAAGTGTGTGGTGCACTTTATTCCTTTAAATAAGCAGATTCCAAAACGTAAACAGCATCCCGGGTTTATTATGCAGAGGGTATATGACAATGAACGAAGTAGACTTTTTAATCTAACAGGTAGAGATTATGAAGATAACAAACAGCATGAGATTGATGATCTCATTCAGAAGACTTCTGCTCGATTGGGAGATCTTCCTGACATTGAGACTGAAGGTAACACTGCTGATCAGGAAGATCAGTTGAGAAATAAAGGACTGCTTAGGAAAAAGAACATGCCAACTCCAAAAGTTTCAAGGGAGGAAGAAACAATCACCAGTTCTGGTCAACCTCTAAGAACCGAAGCACTGGGAAGCTGTACCAGAAGTGTTTCTGAATACTACAATATCCTATCAAACTTCAAGGCCTTAACTGGTGAAATGCAGCGTGACAAGTGGTTAGAAAAGCTTCTCCAAGCAATTCAATTTATGTGTTCGTGTATAGACAGCAGCAGGCAAAATGATGGTAAAAAAAGCGTGGATCTGATGGCACTGCTGCCCCTGCAAGTGGAAGTAATTTGTCAAAATCTTCTAATGGATCTCAAGAGAAGAATCTACATGTAAGCATGGAGTTTCTTTATCACTTCTTGAAATACCTATTCATGAATGTGTAATTTTGAAACAGAGAATCTGGTTTGCCACTAATCCGAGAGATAACAGTAAATTGTCGGAACGTGGAAGTAGAAGGGCAAACATTTTTTCTGAGGTTTTTCTTGTGTTGCATTTTTCAGGCTGGCTTATCTTTCCGATGGCCAGATGCTGCTGTTCCTGCTATAGCTGCTCTTGAGAAGGCTTCACATGAGGCTCATTCCTCAGATTTTCAGAAGTATAACCAGAAGATGCGGCAGCTGACTTTCAATCTTAAGGTTGCATAGAAATCTGCTCCTTCTTGAAATTGTGCGCCCCTCCATGCATGTGTGGATAAATGTACTGGATGAATGATACTTCCCTTTATCCCAATTTTTCAATCCTCTTTGAGAAAGCAAAAAAATTTAGGAAGGACAAAGGATACCTTCTCCATACCATTTTCAGTGTCCTGTTTAAAAAAACACCCTAGTTTCGGCAGGATAACTGATATCCCAGCACTCCACTTTCCCACCCTCTAGTTTCTCATTCATCAACAGCTCCTCACTCCTGTTAGTAATGTTGTGTGTCCTGATGAGCATTGCCTGGCCTCGGGATGAACATTTCCAACCCATCTCAATTGGTTCTTTTTCAATTTATAATCCGTTGTTGCTTCTTCAACTGTCTCACAAATGTGTTAATTTCAAATTTGGTATTTTCTTGTCTTACCACGGCATTCTTGTTCCATTGGTACCCAATAACATTCAATTGCATAATGGTATGTACTTATTGTATTATCCAAAAAAACTTCTCCATTTGAGCCTATCTACCTTAAGCAGACTCACAGTTTGTAGTGGTCATTTTTTCTTGTTTGCTTTTTTTGCACTTGTTAAGAGATACAAAACACTAGAAAATATTAGCTTTTATAGATGAATTTCACAAATGTTACCTTATTTTTGGCCGAAATATCTGTTACATTTATGTCTTCTCTTTTCATTCTTGGCAGAACAATGCAGGATTAGCAGAGAGATTATTAAGTGGAGAGTTGGAACCTGCAAAAATACTTAACATGTCGCCTACCGAGTTAAAGGTGTGACCTCTATTATTACTGAGGGACGCTGTTTATGGAATTGGTTTTGTGTGTGTGTGTGTGTGTTTGCCAATGCCGTTCTTATATTTTCTTTCAGGACTTAATGACCTGGGTATAGGACACAATGCTAATGTTTAATATCCAATGACCGATATTCTTGTTGTCACGTACCAATTTCCATTTAAGATACTGCTGGTTTGTAATAATATTATGATAAATAGCATTCTCCTTGGAAACACTGGTAGGTGTTGGAATTCTTGTCAATCTTGCAACCTTCGTTCCCCTTGTGCCGACATGTGATCCTTTACTTCTATACGGATTTAAAGAAATTTATTGCAGCCAATATCTGGGCTACTACTGTACGAGTAGCAATAAAATGGTGGTGCAAGACTTTCCGGAGGAAATTGCCACTGTTGAGATTTTGGTATCTTTGACTCTTGGGTGGTGGTGCTGTAAATTTATGTTTTTAGTGTGTAGATTGTGCATAATACCCAGATGGCACAGCTATGACCTGTTTTCCTTTCATTTGAAGTTTCTATTTATACATGTGCAACATGTTAAGATTCCATTAGGATCATAGTGCTTTACAGCCCGTCTGACAAATTTTTTGGGCATGCACTTCAATTAATATGATGGCTGAAAAATACTGCAGTTACAGATTTCTGAAGATGGGCATCGATAGGTGTAAGTGAAATCATTTCATAATCAAGGTCCAATTGGAAAGTTGAACAAACTGCTCAAATCACATTGAGCAGTGTTAATATTATTAAGGCTAATCAAAATCAATAATCCGACATTAACAAAGGATACACAATGTAAGCCCTTATATGTTAGGGCAACAACGTAATATAAAATGCCTAAACTACCCATAAATACTCTAACATCTCCCCTCAAACTCATGATGTGGTAGCATCAAACATTAAGAGTTTGCCAAGAAGGAAACGGAAGCGCGCGATGGTGTGAGATTTCGTAAAGAAATCTGCCAACTGCATAGTAGAAGGAACAAAAGGAAGAGATAACGTGTCCAGCTAAAGATGGTGGCGCACAAAGTGACAATCAATCTTAATATGTTTTGTACGCTCGTGGAACACTGAGTTATAGGCAATCTGAATAGCACTGGTATTATTACAATACATAGGAGTAGGAGTAGACAAGAAAATTCCAAGATCAACAAGTAGTCAACGCAACCAAACGATCTCTACTGTTGTGGACGCCATAGCACAATACTCAGCTTCAGAAGAGGATCGAACCACAACAGTTTGTGTCTTACTTTTCTATAAAATAAGAGAATTACCAAGAAAGAGATAGAAACTAGTAGTGGATTTGCGATCTATAGAGTCACCAGCCCAGTCTGCATCAGAATAAGCACGAAGTTCCAAAGATGATGAGGAAGAAAATAATAAACTCTGATGCAACGTACCCCGTAGATATCGAAGAATCTGAAGAACGGCAGGCCAGTGAAGTGTAGTAGGAGCAGCAACAAACTGACTAACCAAATGTACCGCATAAGCAATATCTGAACGAGTAACAGTAAGATACACCAAGCTCCCAATAATAGTACGATATAAGGTTAGGCAGAAAAGAACCATCAGAATAAGGATAACAAATGTTGAGCTCCAAGGGTGTGTCAACCGTGTGAGTATCCGTTAAGCAAGCTTGTTGAATAACATATGAGGCATATTTGGACTGAGAAAGAAGATAACCCTCGGGAGAAGAAGCAACCTCAATCCCTAAGAAATATCAAAGTGGACCCAAATCTTTCATTTCAAAATAATCCTGTAACTGAGTTTTCAACAGCTGTATTCCAGCATTGTCATTACTTGTAATAATCATGTCATCCACATAAAGTAATAGAAAAATAAAACTAGAAGAAATGGATCGAAGGAAGAGAGCAGAGTCATGATCACTAGCACAGAATCCTAAGTCACATATAATTGAAGAAAATTTTGCAAACGATGCCCTCGGGGCCTGTTTAAGACCATATAAAGCCTTTTTAAGTTGCACACATAACCAGGACTACAAGGCAACCTATAAGGGGGAGTCATATAGACCTCTTCAGATAAATCACCATGAAGAAAAATATTTTTTACATCCATTTGAGAGAAGCTCCACTGACGAACAGCTCTCACAGCAATCACTATCCGAATCGTGATCATCTTAGCCATTGGAGCAAAAGTCTCATCGTAGTCAAACTCATACTCTTGAGCAAATCTTTTGGCCACTAATTTAGCCTTGTACCTTTTCACAGAACCATCAGATTAGGTTTTGATTTTATAAATCCACTTACAACCAATGGGGCGTTTATCATGAGGTAAAGGCACCAACTCTCAAGCTCGAGTCTTATGTAACGTATAAAGCTCCTCATCCATAGCCTGCTGCCAAAGAGGATTAAGTATAGCCTCTTTATAGGAGGTTGGTTCAGACAGAGCATGTATACAAGTTAGGAAAGAACAAAAATCAGAAATGTAACAAGAGTTGGACCAATCAAACCTGTCAGGACACTTTCGAGTGCGTTGAGGGTAGCGGGGAGTGTGATCCACGGTGTCAGAATTTGATTGGGAGCCAAGAGGTTCAGATGAAGGCACAACATTTGTGAAGGAGACAGTGGGAGTCCTGCGAGCATAAGTATGCACAATCGGGGGGTGGGTAACAGACACATTAGACAAAGAGGAAAAAGAAGAAGAGGAGGGGGAAGATCAGCCACATTCATATCACCAACATATGAGTACTCAGTTTAGCAGGTTCAACAACTGCTAACTGATCCCAAAATTCAGTCATAACCGAGTAGAACTCTTGTATGGTTTTATTACCTTGACGTGCAGCTCGAAGCTAATGTTCAAGCTGATATCTCTTTGCAAAATTGGATTGAACAAATAATGTAACTAAATAATCCTAAATTTTCTTGGGGGTGTTAAACTTAGCCAAATGCACGTCAATGGTCTGATCAACTGAGTTGTTAATCCAAGTGAGAATTTTAGCATTATTGATTTTCCAGGTATTCTTTAGGTCAGCATATCTTTCTTCCTTCGAATCTGTTGGAGCTTGCAAAGCACCATTAACATAACTCCACATCTTTTTTCCCAACAAGAAATTTTTTATAACATAAGACCAATATACATAATTTTTACCATTTAATCTAACACTAATAGCCTGAAGAGAATCAGAATATCCACTTGCCATAATGTTAACAAAACAGCAATCAGATGCACCGATTAGAACAGAAACCAGCCAGCAGGGGCTATTCTTACGGTAAACAGTAGTCCAACACAACCAAAAATCTAATCAACTAGTCTAAACCAAGAAAACAAACCAAACCAATAAACAAACCTCTTGACCAATAAATCGTGTGATATAAACAAAACCCCAAAGAAGAGGTTGCTATCTGGGTAAGAGTTGAACCCGAAAGAGGTAAAGATCCGAACCTGAAGCCAGACGAGGTCTCCAAGCCAGACGAACACCCAACCAGACGAAGGTCTCGGACTTCGTCCTCAACCTCTAAACAAACACCCAACCAGACAAAGTCTCCAAGCCAGACGAAATATGGACTTCATCTTCAACCTCTGAATGAACACCCAACCAGACGAAACTCGAAGCCAGACGAGGTCTCCAAGCAAGACGAAACCCCAACCTCTGGACCCAGACAACCTATTCGATCATCCACAGCAAGACCTCAACAGAGAACGATCGATTTATTCGATCAACGATTCAACGACGAACAACGGTGGTTGATGAACAGCAATACCTGTCGGTGAAGGGCGAGATCACCTCACCAGGTAACTCCACCTCAACGGTGGCTCTGATACCATGTTAATATTAGTAAGGGTAATCAAAATCAATAATCCGACATTAACAAAGGATACACAATGTAAGCCCTTATATAGTAGGGCAACAACGTAATATAAAATGCCTAAACTACCCATAAATACTCTAACAAGCAGAACATATGAAAACTAGCCAAGGGTCAGGCATAAACATTCTTTGTAGGAGGAGCACACACATCCCATCGGAGTATTATCAATCCTTTTCTTTCGTGCTCATTTAGTCTTTAATTGACCATTTGTTGTTTATATGGTTTTTAATTCCATGAAAATAAATATGGGAGTTCATAAGGAATTTCTTCTTGCCTCTTTGAAAACACTTGCACAAATCATATATGAATTTACCTCCCTGGTCTTTACCTCCATTCCATTTTTGCAAGTACTGTGATATTGTGGCCTTGAAGAGAGAATTGTTAAAGAGCTATGGTCCTCTGCAGAGTTGTAAGAACTCAACATCATATATTACGATGTGACATTTGGTGTTTGGATTAGCGAAAAAAAAGGGAAGGATATTACCTAAAGTATTTGATACCATTGACAATATTTTGATTCTGACTTACTAACCAGACCTATCAATTTGTGATATTTTTCTTTCAGCTTACTGTGTGCTTGTCTGTTTTTGATTTGGGTTTCGGCTCAAGTTATTAGTTAATTTCCTTTTACTTCCAGGAAGGTTTAACAGCAGAGGAGCTAACAAGAAAGCAACCCGAGGAGTCTGAGCGGATGCAGGTCCCATTTCTGTTACTCAAATTTGGTTCTATTAGTGATATGTAGAAGAAACATGATTGCCACATTTGAGCAGGGCAAAAGGTATGGGACATGACAACTCCCCCAATATGAGAGATGGGGGTGACTTATAGAAGCTTTTCACCATGTTGACAGTCAAGTACAAGATGGATTCTTTCACAAAGATTTGAGGAAAACACTTTGTTCTTCCTTATTCAACCTACATAACTCTACATGTTGTGTATGGGAAAGGTGTGCATGGCCATTTCTTCTTGCCTGGAAAGTTTTGGCTGTGCACTTTTTCTCAACAATTCACTAATAGGGAGGACGGTCATGAGGAAGCATGCCTGTTTATTGTAAGACAGAAATAGGATCCTGCAGGTTGAGTTGGTGTGCTTTGGGGAGATAATCCTTGAGTAAATACGTTGAAGGCAATAATTGATATAATTTTCAAGTGAAAACAATAATTGTTATAAGTTACAAAATAAATACAAAAAGCAATCACTTGTCCTTATGTGCAGTTGAAAGCAAAGTAGGTGCACTCTTTGTAGATGTCCATAAGGAGGTGGGCAGTGTCCAGTTGTTGATAGAGTGAAGTGTTGTGAGGACTGCAACTTGAGAAAGGCTTTATCTTGACACAAAGTGTCCTACACCATTATTTTTGTGCCTGGGTTTGGGGGTTTATTACACAAATATTATTGTTTTGCATTTCATACGCTGTAAGCTTCTTATTTCACTTGTGAAACAGATGACCGATGCTCGCTGCAAAAGATGCATGGAGAAAAATGTTGGTCTGATAGACATTATTCAAGCTGGACGTGGAAATCGATATCAGGTTTTTTATATTTGTTACTTCTTAAATTTCAAAATCTCAAAAATAAGTTTCTGTGTTTTCCATGTCGTAGTTGTCTTATATTAGCTGACGATTCTTTTTTATCAGCATTGAATCCTGGTAAGAGGTGTGTAGGTATTATATTTTGTGTGGAATAATGCCTCTAAAATTTATTCTTCATATTTTGTGCCTTGCCGCCTGCCTCCTCCTCCTCCTCTGATGGATATGAGGTCAAAAAAAAGAGTAATGGCCAGATGAGATTGGAAATTTAGGGTTAGGATAGGTATCTTGGCTTTGAGGTAATGAGTGAGCACGATCAAGTGGGCTGCATCTTTGTAGCTTGTTTAACATATGACAATATACTCGATATGCATAGTTATAGTTGATGTCTAAGGGTTAATGAATACGAGAAACATAGTTTACATGACTATGCGCCATAGATTCTTAATTAATAACAGAAGAGGGGTTGCGGTGCCTCAAAATTATGCTATTGTCTACGAAATAAGACATTTCCTGAGGTCAGTGATGTCCCATCTTCTGTTTATAGTGCTCAAGAGAGGCTTTATTATTTTTGTTTTTGTTCAAGGTGGGACAAGTAAATTATTCAGAACCCAATTTAAAGCTCAATCAAGTGCCTCCTGAAAAGTACCATGAAAGAAACAAGATTGTTGTTGAGGTTTCCATTGAGAGTGCAATCAAACACCTTTTAATTATGTTTCATGCCCACAAAATTTTGAAGTTGAGTTTAGTAGTGTCATCACGTGCTTGTTTGGGTTGTCTGTTCACCTGGAGGTTCTCCGCTCAATTCAAAGTTTTCACAGGCAGGTAGCATTGCTAAATGCTCTGCCTACTTTTCTTTGTCTCCTCACCCTGTGATCTCTTTCCAATATGATGGAAATGCATCTGTACTCTAAACCAATGAAATGTAATTATATAGGCTTCTAACTATATAAGGCTCAGTCGTTCATAATAATAATGGTTTCTCATTCTTTGTGAAGTTGTGACTGTTTAATATTTCATTTCATTTGCTTTGGAGTTGCCATTGACAATGTTATGTTTCTTAAGGTTGTTTTTTTTGTCATCCTGGTTGCAGTTGGAATGTATTGCATGTGGGAATACCTGGTATGCTTCAAGCGATGAAGCATCTACACTGACAATAGACAGGCCAAATTCTGTCAGGAGTGTTGGCATTGCCCCATGGGCCACTGCCAAATTTGAAGATGTTGAGAAGAAATTGTTGAGTCCCCGTGAATCTGAGAAGTCAATCAACGATGCTTTAAAAAAAACAACAGAAGCTCACATGCCCGTGTTGGCCAACCAGAGATCATTCAACAAATCCTGAACTGATAGACAATTCTGCCACCACTAATGCCCAGTAGGATCTGCTATACTCATTCTGTAGTTTTTAGTCACAAAGTAATCATGGTTCGTTTTGTATATAGCCAATTCTGTCCGTCTTTGATTCAGTATGTTCAGCCGCCTAACAGCTAGGAGAATAGAAACATGGAGTTTTTTTGGGGGTGTGTATGTATACACACACATTGACGTCAATAGAAACATTCTGCAATGCACAGTTAAATAGGCACCTTACACGGGCATCTGTTCTGTGGGGTGATTTTCTCTAAATTTCAGAAATAGCTACGTTTTGAGAGTTGTCCCCCCATCCCTCTCGCTTGCTTACCACTCGAGAGCGGGAGAGCAACTATGCACAAAAGTTAGCATGGTTGTGATCCGTAGCAACTTTATATCGCAGCATTCCAGAAAATTGAATGTTACTCTTCAAAGGGAAGGTTTTTTCATCTGGATAGGGTCCCGGTCCTCCTAGAAGTCATTACTTGAGCATTGTTATATTCAACATGTTGGGTTGTTAGCATTCAGGTTCTTTTTAATATTTTTTTTTGACATTTTTAAAGATAATTAATAATTCATTGTGGATTGACAGAGAAATATAAGGTGGAGAGCCTATTTGGCTATTTATATGGTGATTGTTGTTCGAATTAATGACCTATTATAGACAGAAATTGAAGAAATATATAAACATTAGTATTAATCTCTTCATAATGGGCATTCTTGTCAACTGAAACCACGACCATATCTTCAAATTTCATGGATACATTATCTAATAAAGTATATATAATGGAGTTGTTATAAAAAATGGTACTGTACCGTTATTTATAATTTTGATCTGTATTTTTACAATTTTGTAGAAGTTTTTATTATTTTCATAATTATTGAAATTAATTAAAATTTGCGTAAATTGACTTGAACGATAGTAAACATTGAACGGAAAAAAAAACTCTGGCTTAAAAAGTAACGTCCAAAAGAGAAGGCACACCACAGAGGAGCACACAGCATAGAACATAGCAGCATATGATTAGTCAAGGAAGATGAATTTTTAGTGGACGTTACTGAAGCTGGGTAGTTCTTTTGTCTCTCAATCTTTTTGCTCATGTGAGAGAGAGGCGCCCATTAGTCACCACCACTTTGACCCTCTTTCCATCTCCCTCTGATAGGCTTATTTTCTCTCTCTACTCTCCCTGCTCTTGTTATCTACTATGTGCTTTACCTTTCTGGTTCTGATTATTTTTTTTTTCTTTTTTTACCCGTCTATTTTTCTTGATTCTTTGAGAAGTCCAAGTACTCTTCACGGCTGACTGTTCTTGAAGGGAGGTTACTACATCTCTCACTTGTAGAATATAGGAGTGTAAAATTGGCATTTTCAGGTAAGACTTTGAGCTCAACAGAATAGAAGACATTATTACTTCTGCTTACAGTTGGGTCTTTCTTTGGATTCACTTCTCTGAGATCTAGTGGGGTATGACCATTTTCACAAGCATTTGTCCTTGTATTGCCTTGGAATGCAAGTGAATAAAACTATGATTTGCTCTTTTCAATGATTTTACTTCTTTATTCTCTCTCCTATCCATATTTGGAACTTCTTTGAAATATTTGGAATGCTTATTGGTTCTAGGTTTTCAATTTAATGGACTCAAGGTTAGTGCAGCTTGACGTTTTTCTGACCTAAAGCGTTTGAATTATTAGCAGGGTCCCATGCATTTGCTAGCATTGTCTGCTTTCTGAATATAAGATCTTTTAACTAATGTTTCACGTGTACATGGATTAACCAGATGCCTTAAATTGCATCTTGTTCTCGAATTTGAGAAAATGGGTAATGGCCCTTTTCATGGCTGCAGATGTGTTTGGCAACTGGAAAATGAATTGTAATCATAATTACTTTAGTTTAGCCTCATTCTTTGAGATCTGATTTTATGCTTCGTTTTTAAATTTTCAATTGTTTGTCTTGTAGAGAGCACTTGAGCTGTGTAAGTAGAATTCAAATGAATATGATATCTGCTAGTTTCATGGTATTAAACCAGGCAGGCGTTTGTTCTAGTTTTAGGTTATAAGGGCTATTCAGTTTGCATATGACAATGGGTGATACCATATGCTAGGAAATTTTAACCTTCTTTGGTTGTCAATTATGTTAAAATTCTACTAAATTTGCAGCTTAAAGCAACATATTAGGTATAATGAAAAATCAACCTAAGTGCTTAATGATGTATGTGGTGCCAGTTCTTTAATTTAGGAGATTGATATCACTACTTAATTGTTCTATACGAATTTGCTGTGATTCTATCTTAATGCTGCAAATTAATTCTACTTACTATGTAATAATTTGTTCTCCTTTCTCTTTTTTCCTTTTAGATTGCAGATCTATGGAATTCGAGAAGTATTGCACAGTAGAAGGAAATCCTACAACTGTTCTTCCATGTCCTTGGCATTGTACAAAACGTGAAAAGGGAAACACAAAGTAAAACCCAAACTTGGAAATAATCTATGGAGCACAAAAGAGGGCTTTACAGAGATTAATATTACCCATTACCGTAGTGTGCATCATGTAGAAGCATTTCATTAGGAAAACAGGATAGAAGATAATGAAATGAGAAGACATGGTTCTGTGTATCAAAGCTCCAATGAAGTAAGGAAGATGAAGAAATCCAGACCTCAAGAGGAAAGGAGGAAAATTGAACTGCCACAAAGAAGAACCACTACATTCTCTTTTGATATTGTTGATTCACTGTGTAGTTCAGAAGAGGACAGTTCACTCGGGGGGAAAGAAATCTTTAGTGATGTCACAAAAGTCGGATTCATGTAAATCTGTTAGCAGGTGCCACAAAACACCTTGCTTTCCAGATTTCTTAGATCTCTCCTCACATTCTGTTTCAGACAGGTGTCTCAACGGATGGCTTATTACAAATCTCTCTGGGTTCAGGTGATAGAGAAAATCGATCTGCTGATAATGCACAGAGACAGCCAATTGAGGATTCCAAATTGAGATGTGATCCAGATGTTGGTCCTTTAAATGATGCTGTTGTCCATAGGGAGTGGGGTCGTGCTCTTACTTTGCACAAGTCACTATCTGCTAAATTGGCACTGCCCCATTCACCTGCTCTCACCTGAAAGTGACTGCTCCAAAGCCAGCAGTCCAAAGTCCCGGTTCAGCCCTATCAGAAAGATGTTTGATCCATTTGTCAAGTCGAAGTCTGAGAGAAGTCCTTTGGCTTCTGCTATCGAAGCTAGTGAAGTAACATCAACTAGCATAGATGGAATGGTCAGGAGCAAAACATTTCAGAAATCTGTCCCATATGATTTCTCAAATACAGCTTGGCGTATGGAATGTAATTCGCGGTTCGTCCAGAAGGAGCAACATAATTCAATTTTGCTGTGTTCGCCAGCTCAGTTACATGGCCTTCTTAAGCTGGACAATGAACTTGGGGTGCCATCTTTTGAATTCACTGTGAAGTCTTTTGAAGAAGTTTTTGTGGTGAAGACATGGAAAGTGGAAATTTGTAATCGGATGTATACCTTTCAGTCTATTCACAATAATAGAAAGAGTAGTGCTATTGGATTGGGATTGAAAGAAAACAAAAAGCATCTCCTATGGTGGGACAGATGCAAGTTTCCTGTTATTTATGCACAGAACATAAAGGTGCCAGAGCGCTTGACAACTCCATGATGACAGAGTTTGTGTTGTATGATACTGCACATGCAAGAACTAGTGTCGCTCCTCAAGATAAAACTAACTATTCACATGATTTAGCTAAAACTTCCATGATTTTTGATGAAAGTTTGTTTGAGGGAACCTGCAAGTTTGATGAGGTCTCATATAACACAAAGCTTAAAGGAGAACTGAAGCATGCTTCTGACATTAGCCATTTTGATTCAACAACTTTTCATCCTTTGGCAGCAGCAAAGTTGCATCGGAACCTTGAAATTGCAGCAATCGTTATACAAGCCCCATTTGGGAAAAGAGAAAGCTTGAAACGCAAAGGAGGGGATCAGAAAACTGATCAACTACTTCCAAACTTGTTTGATTTCTCTGGGGTCGATCAGAAAAAGGAAAGCATCCCTGATTGCTTGTCAAAGGTGAATGCCGTGATCCCTTCTGGAATTCATAGTTTGCCAAGTAATGAAAGTCATGGCCCTTCTCCATTGCTAGATCGATGGAGATTGTGTGGAGGCTGTGACTGTGAAGTCTGGGACATGGCATGCCCCCTTACTGTTATTGGCAATCCCAATATCCAGAGTGCTGAAAGTCATCTGCAAATGGAGAATCAGCAGCCTTTGGTACTTGTTCAGGTAATCTTCTCATCTCAAGCAAGTTGATATTTGCGTGACAGGAAATTTTATCATTGATCATTGTGGGTCATAATTATTGTTGAAAACATATAGAATTTGAAGATAGTAATAGTAAAAAAGGGTGAATTCATATCCCTCTGCATGTGCATCACTTATTCCCTGGGGAAGTAACTATTTCATTACATTTATGGTCTGTAAGGTGTGGATTCCTTTTGGTAAATGATTCAATGCATCTAATTTTAAATGCATAGGGTACATTAAGAGGGTCTTAACAAATCAAATGGGCATATTTGATTGCCCATATGAAGTGTTTATCTGTTTTTATTGGCTTACTTAACTTTAAATTTAGTGGAAAAAAAATAGAAGGTGATGAAGCTCAAAACATAATTACCTTTTTTCACTATTATTTTCGTTTGTCGTTGGGGCTTACAATTCATCTTCTAACTCATTCCTTTCTCATACGTGATATAATTTATTGTGTAGGTAGTGATTCCCTTTTAAGTGACAAACTTGGGTCTCCAATTCCACAGAAAACTAGTAATTTTGCTGATTTCCATCTGATTTCTGAATGCCAAACAATGTGTTGTCACTTTGACCCCCATCAAAGGAAGAGACCCATCTGCAATCTCATCCCCTACAAAACTGAAGGAAAAAAATAGTGAAAAAATCGATAAACTTGAAATGTAGAGGAAGATGCTTATTAGTGAAGTTCACTCCAAATGAACTGTAAAGCATTTAACTGCTGCTCATGATTTATTATAGATACTTTGGCCTAAAAAATTGTAATTTCCTCCCAATTGTATACAGGGAAGTAAAGAGAATACACCAGCATTGATCATAACAGTTATTGAGGATAGACAGTCTGCAGTTGCCTTCCATGCAAAGTTATCCACATTACACAAGCATTCTCCATTTTTGTAGCTATCCTGCATGCTATGAAAGCCTCCATTGATGTGGGGCAGGAGACAGACAGAAATTCAACGCAATGCAATTCGCTAAAAGTTTTGATTGAGGAGGAAGTTACATATTTAATTGAAGCAGTCACAGAGGAGGAGAAAAAGAAAGCCAACATGATGGAACAGGTCCAGTCATATTTTGTGCTCAACCCACCGTTTTCTCCGATTGCTCCAGTATAGATTTAGCCTCTAACTGCAGATATATTATCTTTCCAGAATCCCAGATTGGGTTTAGAGGGTCGGGTTTGCAGTTTCTGGCCGAGGTTTACTTCATCAAGATGTCCAAAACGTGAAAAATCTAAGTAGCATGCTTGAAGGGAGAAGCTAAAATGGTTCCCCAGAGAATTCAAGATTTGGTTTACCCAGAAGTGCTCAGCCAATTCCAATCTCTCATACTGATTGTCACTACATTGGATGTGGCAGCAAAACCCTTCTTTTGGTACCTTTCATTATGTTCTCTAGTTTCTTGGAAAAATTGAAAGAGAATACTATATGTATATTGTTTAGGAAAATGCTAGTCGGGACATAATTTAATGCAGCTATTGGATTGAAAGTGGACGTTATTTAACATTGAAACTCATAACCAATCCAATTGTTGTATTAAATTAGGTTCTTATAGTATTTTTCTACTGTTTATATTCTTTAGTCTACAGAGAGGGAATAGATTGTAGCCTAACATTTGTTTAGTTTATGTTCTTGGTCAATAGAGAGGGAATAGATTATAGTTAATACACCTGTTGAGAGAGAGTGACTCTTTACCTTCTTTTTTTTGAGGGTCAAGTGAGAGAGAATGAAACTCTTTCATTGGTTTGCATAAGAGCAGGTTGTAGTCGTATTGGAAATTAAAATTAAACGAACTTTTATCCTGCTGTTAAGAACGAAAATTTTCTTCTTGTTGAACTCATCTAAAGACACACACATGTATTACGTTTAACAAATTTGCCACTTTGGCCAAGCTACGGAGGAACTCGTTGAAGTTTATGGTAATAATAAGTAGCAGACAAAGTATCAAAATGCCACTACCACCCATTTCGGCATTTAAGTGGCAGCAACACAAAGGTAAAACTAACTTGCGGAGGCAAAAACTCAGACAGACAGTGGTGACAAAAATTACAAAACGCCGTTGCCGGGGATCGAACCCGGGTCACCCGCGTGACAGGCGGGAATACTCACCACTATACTACAACGACTTATTTCAATTTTATGTATAAAATAAATAACTTTTATTAATACCCTTTCAGATTCGTTGAAAATACACTTGACCTCTTCATGTTTCAGAAATTATGAACAAATCCAAAATATTTCTATTTTCAAGAAAACCAAAATAAATCAGGGATCAAATTGAAACACCAATACTTTGAAATGTTTCAGAATTTCATGTTTCTACCATTGTTTCATAATGTTAAATAAATTTTTAATTTTTTTTTTATTTTCAAAAAACTGAAAATAATTCTTGAATTCTTGAATCAATCCCCTATCAAGGTAGGTCAGTGAATTGATTAACAAAGATGGCCACTTAATTGGCATTACAAAAAAAAACCATTAAGAAAAGCAGATAAAACAAACTGGTTAGCTTCACATCTTTGGTTACACCAATTTTGGTGAAACACTACTCATAAATACAAATTATTAAAAAGAATCAAAATTACATATGAAGCAAAGAGGCACTGATACAATCTTTTTGCCACACTATGTTTCTTCATTTTGCATTTCTTATATCACAGATATCACCCAGAAAACCAGTTAAGTTGTTTAGGTGTTAGGCTTGAGCAAACTAAGTGGGCTGCTTCCACCATCACTGAAGCGTCCCCAGGATAGGCTTTTTTTTTCATCTGCTTTGTCAAGCTCTGAAAAAAACCTGCATCCTGTGTATTTCTTTGCCGCCCCCTCAGAAAGATTCATTCAGCTTAATCTCTTTGGCCTCTTATTTCTTGTGGGCATTTGAAGGGACTCCCGGTTGGCAAGTATGACCACTCATTGCCCTCTGTTGGCCTGACGAGTTTCTGATTGACTGACTGGTAAGATAATTTCAAATTCAGGGTAGCACAGAGCAACAGGTCTACATACATCTTCAATTAAAAAATCCCCCGAGAAAAGCTCTAATTTGCAGAATGCCAAGGTTTCTTTGCTATTGCTCATGCCATCACAAACTGTCCTGTTGCACCTGCTCTCGGCCATGTGCAAGTTTTGCAGTTGGTGCCGGAGTTGGAGACTATATACCATCAACTTCGGTACTTTCTTCAGAAGAGATCGTGTTGGCATTAGTTTGGGGAACCTCCAAAGAAAAGAACCTCTTGAAAGATTCATATGATGCAAAGAAGAGTGCTCCTTGAGTCACATACATTACCAGTCTTGGAGCCAAGCCTCTGATCATGAAAACAAGATTTGTGAAATTGGCGCGTTATAATTACAAAGATGGAGCATCATAAAATCTACAAAGAGAACAGCAACCCCTTAACATTCCAAGCAGGGAAAATGCAAATTTGGAAAAAGCTGAATCAGATAGCTCTAAGTTGGGTTGTCTTCGATTCAAGCTGCATTTTACACTCGAGAAGGGGGAACAGACTTCTAAGATAAAATTATGTATTATGCCAGTCAAAGTAGTGCTTTGGGACCAATGCCACTGATTCATTTGGTTCAACACAACATCTGGGGCAAAACTATTAAGTTACTCTCATTTCTGAAAGAATAGGCTATCAGCCACCTATTCAAATCGCACCTGTATACTCTGCTATTAAAGGTAATTTTTGTACCTCAACAATTTCTTTAAGGAAGAGACTGTAGCAGTTCCCTTTTGTTCCTTGTTGAAGTTACTAACCCACATGTAAACATAATTGAACTGGGGGACATGTTAACATGATTCAAATGCACTTGTCAACAACTAATAAAGGTTTTGTAGAAAGAAAAGTATCTTCATTCCACCCTATGGATTCTGACATTGTTTTGCTTGCAGAAATTAATCTAGGGAAAGATTAATGGAAGGTTATCCGACCACCATACACTTCTCAAACCCTTACCTATAGAGACCCTTCAAGCCTTCATGCTTGCCTATTTCTTTAAGGGTGTTAAAGACACCATCATAATGGTTGATAGTTCCAGGAATCTGCAAATGACCACTTTGTCAGAAGCATCATACTTACTACATACTATAAAAACAACTGCTCAAAATCTCTAAAACAAGGTAACATCAGTGCAGATTTAATAGATTGTGCATTCCAATTACTCTTGATTGAAGTTTCCCAGAGGAAGTGCCTGACCTTTGAAGCAATTCCATGTGATTATCAACAAGAGTGACACTGTGGAAATAACAAATTCAGGTAACGAACCTGAGTCTGCAATCTTGTCTTCACCACATCAAAAGGCGTTGTAAATAAAGCAGCAGTAGATCCAGCTAATCCTCCAGACACTAGCTGTAAGAATTGGGGAAAAAACGAACCTAAGGTTTATTGTATATATGATTGAAAGCAGACTACCCAACAAGCAAGCACAAAGCACGATCATTTAGAAGCAGAAACAATGAACTACAATTGAACATAAATCACTCAAAAAAAGGTAAAACAAATAAACCGTTAATATTGTGTTGGGTTGAGTGGTTGATTGAAATGACGATAACATCCATTGCTTCAAGCTTTCGTATGCGTAGAACTGCAAGTAAAGTGATAAGTTGCTTTCAATATGTATAAGCCCCAAAATAGTTGCTGGAGAATGAAGAATTTGTAAAAGAAAGGTGGAAAAATTAAGGGATCAAAACTAATCTTTTATAATGACCTCGATTCATATAAAACGTTCATCTAACCTTGATGATAGAGTGTGGAACATTCCTGCAGAGTACAGCCCCCCAGCCAGTATATAGCGATGGCAAGCCGCCCTTTCTAAGGATCCCAATCAATGCATTCCTGCGCAGAACCTTAATCAATCCATGATCAAACATAATGCATATCATAGAGAAAGCAATATTGATTGTCTCAGTTATGACAAATATAACACAAGAGCCTCAAGGTATACCAGCAGTTTTGATAGTGCGAACCAACTTGCATCTGCTGCTTTATACGCTCACTTGGAGTGAAAATAACAGAAGTAGCAATACTTGCACAACCCCCGGCCATGCAATGGACCAAAGATATATACTCCTGCATGGGAGAATGGCTGAGATTTCTACAAAGACGGAAAGCATCATGCTTGGTAAGGAGGTAGGATAAACAGGGGTGCAAGTGAATGCTCGTGGCCGCTCGCGCGAGCACTATTAGAAGAAAAATATTTTAGAAAGGAGAAAGTTCAAAATGGACATAAGATAAAAGTTTTACCTTGGGAAAAAGAGGAAGCAAAGCCCCCTTTACTGATTCATATGTAAAAGTGTAAACTGCAGAAATTGGCGCTGAAGAGGCAACGTTGCTTGTAATTCCACGATAAAGTCCTGTAACACCTGAAATCAAAATGCACAGGACATCAATTTTCACGAGGCCATCCGAAGAAGCTAGACAGTGATAACATGTAGTTCTGTTTCCTGTCCTAAATAGGAAACAGGACTAGATTTCTACAAAGCAAATTCACTAAAATTTTTCATAGACTGACATACCTCTTTCGGTAATAATTGATCTGCCTATGTGATGAATAGAATTTTGATTGAAGCGACATGACTGAATGACAGTCTTAATTGTATCTACAGGATGTAGGCAAAGGCTGACAAATATACCAGCCATTGCTCCAGCAAAAGCATGTTCTTGCTTTGCAAGAGCATAGCAATGTTTACCCTGTGTTGATGAGAAAACCTCAATTTTAGTCTCGTCCTCAATTACAACTTCATTTTGTTGATTCTTTTTGTTCTCATGCAGACCATCCTCGTCCACCATGTGCACGCTTTCTTCACAATCAGGAGTACCTGAAGATAAAATGTTGATATGGTAGTCTGCAAGAAGTCTAGAGGCACTAGTATTTGCTTCTATAAGTTGGACAGGCCCAAGATGATAATCTGAGTAGATAGATGCAATAGATGTCCTCATACTCATTACAGGATTTCCATTTTGACCTGACAAATGCATAGGTTTGGTTATTTCAGTATGCAAGTCAGCATTTTCAGTGATCAAGTTATTGGTAGGACCAGTGATATTGCCAGGATGGCAGCAGATTGCAGGACTACTAGTATGCCCGGCAATGCAGCAGTCAACAGTTTTCTTTTCATCAAGCTTGGAAGGGTTCACAAAATGCCTTAATCTAGCAACTGTCGTTTCACTCATCCATCCATATATACTTCCTGGATCATATGAGATTCCTACACCTGCAAGCCCCTTATTTCTCCAAGATTCATGAAGCATTTCACCCTTTAGGAGTCCCCATAAAAGAGAATTTGTATAACTTCCATGACAAGGCTCAAAGACTGACAGCTTCTGGGATACTTTCAGACACTCTAAGCTAGCCTTTTCCGTGGGTGAAGAATGGCTAATGTTCATGGAGTTAAACAAGGAGTATTGACCTTTAGCTGCAGTACTTGAGTTGTCATTTCCACACCCCACTCTATATTGAAATAGGATTTCTCTCAAAGTTTCACCATCATTGTGTGCTGAACTTCTTTTAGGTCGGAACACAGAAAAAGGACGAATTGCATAATCCCACATCTGGCTAGCTGCTGAGACTAGATCAGCAGTGCTAAATATCTCAGAGGACTTGGGTTCAGATTTTTCACCATTGTGCTTAGTATTGTGACTATTGTCAGAGGAAGTGGGAGCATAATCTTCATGACCAAGATCAGCAAGCCCAAAGGACACCCCCTCAAGTGGATTATACCTGTATTTGATTGAAGGTTTCTCACTTCTTGATGGTTGACTACCAGCAGCCATTGTCCTCAATAAATCAAGAAAATCTTTGAGAAAGCAGAATGCTGATAAAAAGCAATGGCACAATGGAATCAGCAGGTTGAATCACACTAAATCACAGGACAAAAAAAGTCAATTAACTAAGCTTGTCAAAACAGTGACGCCAACAATTTAGGGTCAGATACATGATTAATATCTGTTCGTTTAGAGACAGGATCGCGTGCATGTTTGAATTCAACTTTATTTTATGTCTAGAGTGAAAATATACAGTTTTGTGTCTCCTATAAAAAAGAAAAAAAAATTGTTTCTTTGTCCGATCTAGAAGAAACAAATAATCAGACAACGCATTGCAATTGTTTTGGCAGATTTTATAGGGTTCAAAATTGATTCTGCTCTACAGTTGTCTAATGACCTCACTGGATCAAAGTCCAGGTGGTTACGACCTTACCCAGATGATTTAACAAATACCAACAACATTAAACAGTGATATCAACATCCACAAGTTTTCATTCAGTTACATAACTGAAAAACATTTAAGAACCAGAAAACACATGGTCATAGCCATCCAAGCGTGAAGAGACAAGGAAGTAAAGGGAACCACAGGAACTTGACTAATGACAGTTAAATTAGAGAAAGTTGACAATTTGAGTGATGAACATCAAATTAAAGGAGTTTGAATCACACTTCCGATACCTATGATGCCGCATCATACTCTAGTATACTAACAAAAACACTCAAAGCATTTTACCCAAAATTTTCTTGGTTCAAATTCTAAGAAGGTTTATGAGTTCATTCCTTCTCCTATTTATTTTCTCAGCAAACCAGAGCATACATACAACCCCATCCCCCCCCCCCCCCCCGGGGGTAACGCCTAAAAAATATGATAAAGATGATGGTAATGACAATAAAGTGCGTGCAAAAACCCTTACCAGTCACTTCTTCTCCTCCTCCATGTTATCCAGATCCATTCACCTCTGGTCTAGGATACAACAAGCTGATAAGTAATACATGACCCCTGATTCAATGTGAGAGACAGAAAATTCAACAGTTACACACCATCTTCCACATAGTAATTTTCAAATGCCAACAAACACCCAAATCAAGAGCCACAAAGCAGCTATTAATCCAAACCCTAGTAACCCTTTATTTTGCCGAAGAACTCAAGTAAGCATAAAAATTATCAAACTGGGCAGTGCAGAGTTTTTTCCCTTGTCAAACAAGTAGAAGGTAATAAGAATTCAGACACACACATGTACATATACATTTCAATAGTTTGAAAGAGAACTGAAACCTCGATGAGGTTGATTGTTCTGGAGCCCGAAGTAGTATATATACAGCTTTCTCATCCATTTTCTCGAGAAAATTGGTTCAGGGTTTTCTGGGAATATAGGGTTCAAGAGGTGAGGGTCAATATATATAGAGAGAGATAGAGAATAAATTCAAATTGCCAAACACATTGTTCTCATAATGTAGCTGGAAATTTCGAGGAAAATTCCGGTGTTGTACGCTGTACTGATGAATTTTAACCTTATGTGATCAGAGTTGATCTTGTGGTTTCTATGTGAATCATGGGCACAGACGTGATTGGTTGATTTTATAGATCATGGTGATGATCAAAACGATTCAGGGATCTGATGGTTGATGGGGGACTTTGTCCTATGTACGAGTAACAGGTGATAATTTCTTTTTTTTTTTTTTTTGATACTTTGGTGATAATTTCTTTTACCCGTATGGTGCACCTTCCTATATCAACCTCATAGGAAGGACATTTTTGGCACAAAAGGTGTGCTGTATGATTCTCATTAGTTTTTCTCACAATGATAATCTCATACAACCTTAGATAGAGAGATTTTTTTTTTTTAAATTATAATTTATAAAAATAATACTGTCAATTTTTTGCTTTTATTTTAAAGAAAAACTTGATCGATAACTTGTACCGGAAATAAGCTCAGACAATCTAAACTTAAATGGCTTATTTTTCGACCAAAAAAATTTGAACAAAAATCTAAGCCTTGTATTGGAACTCAAGCCAAATTTATGGCCCCTCCCTCAATAATACTAGTCGAGCATGAAGTCATGTCCCGAGTGCAAGCCCTTGACAAGCACGAAGCTCGAAAGCTTATCAAGTTCAACACGTTTAAATTTTTTATTAATAATTATTTTCAACAAAAAATTATCTATTCATACACGCACTTTGTCAGGGGCGAAACTAGAAAATTATGCCAGAGTGGACACGAATATTTTAATAAATTATTACTTTTTTCTTATAATTGATAGAAATAGGACAATAATTTATTTAATTACATCCTAATTAATATTTAAAAGTTCATTAAACACATCATACCAAAATTTGGTAAGTCTAATATACATAAATGATAACACTTTTTTCTTACAAAATATTGGTTAATTAAAATCATTTAAAATTGACTCCAATAAATTTGCGTACTTTGAAAACGTTGTATAACAACTTTATTACTTTTTATAACTCATTTGATCGATTATGTAGTTCAATGTGTACTCTATAATTTTTACCATAATTAGCAAAAAATAAATGTCAAAATTACAAGTAAACTGGAGAATATGTACACATGTCTTTTTTAGTTTTCGAAGGTATAAAATAATTCTAGTATATTCAAAATTTATCTAGATAGGTACATAATCTGTATAAAATATGCCAAAAAATTCATATTCATTTGATATAAGTATACACTAATTAATGTGCCCAAAAAATAGGGTGGACATAATTAAAATTATTCATTTGATATAAGTGTAAATTAATTGATGTGCTACAAAAATAGGATGGACATAATTAAAAATATTGAATAAATATTTAAAATACACATTCGCTATATTATAACAGTGGGCCTAATATTTTTCTCCTTACTTGAGTGGACACAAGTAATATATTATATAAATATATAATATACATACCTAAGTAATACAAAAAAAAAAATTAAGGGAGATACTTGCCCACCCTATACTATAACTTCACCTAGTTAATACTTATAATTGAGTTTGAAAAATAGATCAAACACCCCCAAAAAATTATCTTTTTTATGTTATCATAAAACAAATTTCTATGTTTAACTATATTCTTTGAAGAAAACAAAAATAAAAAATTTGAAATTCATATATTAATGAGAAAAAAATAGTGCACGAGAGAATTCTTGCAATGAATAGAAATAGCGATCCTCTCGATGTTGAACCTGAAACAACCAAAAAGGATTAGAAAAAGAGCCGAGTGAACACCTGACTTATCCTATCTGAAACTTAAGTTAGTAGATGTTTGAAGGTTTTAGCACAGTATATCTTTTCCTCCGTTTAGTTTTGCATACCTTTGTTTATCTTTTCTGGAGGGTATTTATACTTGTACCGATAATGAGTGCAAGGGTCTTAAGTCCAATCATGACATTTAATGATTTGCACTCTTCTCCACGCGTAATGAGTGTTCTCCACTTATATCCTCATAAGCGTTCAATGCTCGGGTGAGAGGACAAGTGCTCAAAGGCATGCCGAGCAGTTATGACTACCTCCAGTCATGTAAGTTTCTCTGATCAGTGTTTGACACCTATTCTCGAGTTTTTAATGCTTGGGGTACAGTACCTCGGGATTTGCCAAATACACCTGGTCGGCGTTATAACTATTAATACTTTGCAATCATGATTGTTAGTTTTGAGTTTCAAGGATGCAGAGACTTATTAATAACTCTGTCACATCTCTCTAAATGTTGTCATATCTCCTTAAAAGTTGATTCCAACCTATTTATTTGGCTCATTTGAGTAATAACTACTCGGTGCCATCTCTCGACGCCTTTTGAGTTTCATAACTATTGTATCAATCTACATGTCAATTTGGAGGCTGTTAAACCGCCTAAATTCCCGTCAAATAGATTAATAATTATTTAAGCATAGATAACAATACAATACGTTTTTGTAATGATTGTAGCACAATTAGAACATGCTTGCATGGCATTGAAAGCCATGAATAAAGTTAGAATTTCTGATAATTATTTCTAACAAATAAAAAAAATGTAAAAACTGAAATGTGAAAAATACACATGGGGTATGTTTGGATCGTGGATTAAAGGGGAATAACTCTTGTAGGATAGGATAAAAAAATATCTGGGTCCATATATCTGATGTTTGGTAAGTAAAAAATATATTAGAAATCTTATTCGAATTTTATCTCAATTCAATTTGAAAAGTCAACTTCAACCCATCTTTATGAGTTAAATGAAACTCAAAAGAGAGCTGAGATTTTTTTGTTAGATAAGATAACTAATACAAATAACCGAATTGTCATATTCACCTAATCTCTCTTTCTTTTTAGTCTTGTTCATCTCCTCATCCTATTTTTTTATAGATCTAATTTTTTTTCAACAAATTTGTTTTGTCAAGTAAGACCTGTCGACATATCTCAAGAAAACTAAGACGTCTTATCCAACAAGAAACCTAATTTAAAGAATAAACTAACTGTAATAAAGTAATATCATATTTGGACTAACACTAATTAACAACTAATAATAAAATAACTAATTGATGAGAGCTTGAGTTAATTTTTAATAGTCCTCGTAACATATGAACACCCAAAGGATATAAAATTACAACATTTTTAAAATAATATGTAAGAAAAATTTGTTTGGAATTGGTTAATGACTAATTTATAAACCAAACATGGTATTGAATTGGATAGATTAAGAAAAAACAATCAATTGTACCATATTCTATCACCCTTTTACATAGGTTAGAAGTGCTTATGCGTTATCCAAACACTGAAAATGATAGAATAGTCCCATTAAATCCTAATTAGTCTAATGATAGGTGGGTTTTTTTTTTTTTTTAGAAATGACGACGTACAAGGAGAGAGTGCAATAAAATTAAACATCTATATTTACATTTTCTACTCCTACTGTTAATCCTGTTTTTACGTGCTGTTGTGAGCCATGACTATTTGCCTCATAATCAAGGGGGGGAGGTTTTCAACATTAAGGGTTCCCTGATAATTATTTCTCAGCCCACATTGCGCCAGTTCGTGTGCAGCTTTGTTTGCTTGTCTGAATGCATGAATCATACTCCAGTCTATGTGTTGTTGAAGAAGGTGTTTGATATATTGTATTATGGATATGATGGACCAGTGTGGATTGATGTGGGGGAGCATGGCTGCATGTGTGACAGGCTGTGAATCCCCGTCAATGATGACATAGTTCCAATTTTTTGAGAGTGTCCAGAAAGCTGCTCTTCTTGCAGTCAAGGATTCTGCAACAAGATGGTAGTCATCATGTTCTTCTTGTGTGATCAGTGATTGAATTACTTGACCTCTCTCATCTCTTGCAATTGCTGCCAAGCAAGCTTTACCTTTCCCAATAGCTGCGTCAACATTGATTTTTATTTCTCCTTCATTTAGTGGGGTCCATGTGCTCATTCCTTGGTGCGTTGGTGGCAGTTGGTGAGTTTTTGCAAGTTTGGAATTCTTTGATTGCGCCACAAATTCATCAAAGAGATGGTTAATCTCCTGCATTATCAAAGTATGCCGAGGTGTTTTGCTCCCGTAGATGATTTTGTTTCTCCATTTCCAAATTGTAACAATCACAACTCCAGCAAAGAGAAAGAACTGATCCTGAGAAAGTCTGCATAGGTTGAAAATTGGTCCAGGGTTAAGGAGATTGTGGACCCACTCTTGGAATGTAAGGTAAGAGAATGCTTCTGTGCTAAATCCCCATTTATGGAACTATATTGTCTTGGCTAGGTGGCATCGGAAGAACAAGTGTACCTCAAATTCTGATGCTTGATGACAGAATGGGCATAAAATGTCTTGGACTGGAAATCTGCTGGATAGGGTGGTTTTGGTGGGTAGGCTCTCTGTCACGGCTCTCCAAATTCCCATCTTTAAAATCTCATGTAAGGGGGATTTCCACAGTTTGATCCAATCAGGGGTGTTGAGGTACTGCCTAGTTGTATCCAGATTTGCTCTGTGTGAGATGTAGGTTGATTTTGTTGTGACCAATCCTGAATTAGAGGGAATCCAGGCCATTTTGTCTGCTGGTGGGTTTGAATTGAATAGAAAATGTCATATTTTTTTAGATCTCTAATTCAGTCCAACTTTGTCATCCAAACACACCCTTGATCTCGGTATAATTTTTCGGGCTTTAGGATCTGTTGGATTAATGACGCTGAGCACCAGCCCATCATTAAATAAAGCTCTAATGGGGGAATACATCTAAAAGTTTAGAACCCAACAAGTAGATTGGGCCACTTCACCAGGTAATTTAAGCTCATAGCTGCAAAAATAAGGTGACATTTTGTAACATTTTTTATTTTGAGTTTTCAAAAAAAAGAGAGAGAGAAAGAAACAGTTTTAAACTTATTTTACCCAACATTATATTGTAATTGCAAAAGTTCAAAAAGATCAATAAGTATAGGTTCAAACATCACCTCCAAAAAGGTCTAACATTTAAAATAGTGGATGAAAGTTTAGTCAAGGTATGCTCTATCTCAAATAGAAAAGCAAACTCGACAGTTAACACATGACAGCACTTCAATTCATCTCACCCCAATTTATAGCGTACAATTTGAAAACTAAAAACTCCTCTCAAAGTGAAGCAATTTTTGTGGAGAGCGTGCTCTAACGCTCTAGCAGATAGGAAAACTAATTCACCAAAAAATGCGGGACATCTCCCAACTGCAAAATCTGCACAATCCACATAGAATGCACTGAACACATGCTCTTCAATTGTCCTTGGACACAGAGAGTATGATTTAATCTGGGTCTCAAAATGTATATGCAACAATTTATCTCAGTGAAGTAATGGACTTCCAACTTACTAAAATCTTGCACAAACAATTGTCATGCAATCGAAGTTCTTAGCAAAGTAGCACAAATGGGTTGGTCCATTTGGAAATCTAGAAATGAAGCTGTCTTCCAGTCCCACGAGCCTAATCCGCTTGCAACATTGCTTAGGCCCGTCTAATTGGTGAGATTTCAATTTTACTCAGTTGACATACCAAGAGATTCCTAGTCACATAACAGTGGTTAATCCCTCCCACCCACACATCCTGACAACTCCCTCCTCAAAATCAAGTGTTCAACTGTGATGGAGCTTATACGACCAACTCTTAATAGGCTAGTTAGGGAGTACTTCTCAGGAATGATGCAGAAATATTGTTAGATGGCAAATCTAACTGCATTCCAGCAGTTTTAATCCTCTACTCTAAACTAGTTTTTGTACGCCATGCATGTCTTGTGACAGAAAGTTTGCAATTACCAGGAGCATCTGTGGAAAGCGACATCTAGATTGTAAGGGGTAGAACCCTCCACTCAGGATTTCGGCTTGACCTGGGTTAACCCACGCGGGCGACCCCCCAGTAGCCTTTACCTCTCTTCGGCAATAGGACCCTTTCCTAAGGCAATCCCACATCGGAAGAGAGTCGTCTTCCCCCCTCGCATATAAGCCCTTGCACTCAAAGGAGGAGGTACCCACTAGGCACCTGATCAGGTCGCTAGTGGGTACCTCCTCCTTTGAGTGCAAGGGCTTATATGCGAGGGGGGAAGACGACTCTCTTCCGATGTGGGATTGCCTTAGGAAAGGGTCCTATTGGCGAAGAGAGGTAAAGGCTACTGGGGGGTCGCCCGCGTGGGTTAACCCAGGTCAAGCCGAAATCCTGAGAGGAGGGTTCTACCCCTTACAAAAAGGCAGTAGCCTTTACCTCTCTTCGCCAATAGGACCCTTTCCTAAGGCAATCCCACATCGGAAGAGAGTCGTCTTCCCCCCTCGCATATAAGCCCTTGCACTCAAAGGAGGAGACGACTCTCTTCCGATGTGGGATACGGTGCGCCCTCCCCACATTAGGCTAGGCCAGGGCTCCGGCTCAGGAAGAGGGGTAAAGGCTACTCCCGAACGCGCGGAGGTCAGCCGAAATCCTGAGTGGAGGGTTCTACCCCTTACATAGATCAATAATAAATATAGATCAAATATATTTTGATCTATATTTTATTATAATTTAGCTTAACAAAAAAACTTTTAAAAGATTGTGTCAAAAAAATAAATTTTAAAATTTATATCCAAAAGTACGGTCCACATTTATTGAAGGACAAAAAAAAGTTTTAACACTTGATAAAAAAGTGTAATAAGTATCTCTCTTCCAAAAAAACACCATTTATTAAACTCAATTTTGTTTTCATTTAAACACAACAATATCAACTAATTAAATTGTTCAGTCTCATAAAAGATCCACAATAAAAATTAGTTAATATAAAAAAAATTTCAATAATGTTTACTACATGTTAGATGCATAAATTACTAAAAAAAAAAATTATATGACACCACATTATAATATTAAATATCTTTATTGTGATAGTATTTTATAATAGTCAATAAAAAATGCATAAAATATAAAATAATACATATATTACTTTTAATCCTTGCACATCATCCGATAATCAATTTGTCTCACTTAATCAGTTTCATGGACGAAGGCTTGACAGTGAGAGACGAGTGAAGACTACAATTATTGCGAGATGCACAGATATTTCAATCTTTTAAATAAGAGGAGGCATAGTAAGGCCGGCCCTAGGACCCGACCATTAAAATAGTTGTCTAGAGCCTAAAAAATTTAGAGATCCAATTTAATTTTCAGCTCTTTGTTTAATTTCAAGTTCTGAGAAGGACCAAGTTAAAGGCTAAAATATATTTCACAAGTTTATTTAAAGCGTTATAGAAAATTTTAAAATGTAATAATATTTTCACAAGTCTATGTAAATAAAATTTCTAAAATATAACAAAGTTTTCTAAAAAAATCTAAAATTAATGATTTCTACCTTTAAAAACAGTAATCTCTCTCAAAATTTTTCATTAATTTTTCCTCCACTCTCATCGTTTCTCTCCAACTCTTTCTCTCCCTTCCAATCTCATTGTCTTGCTCTGATTCTTTTGTCCGTATCTGTAGCTATATTGTTATTTCACTTTATTCAATTTATTCAATCTCATTGTCTTGCTTTGATTCTTTTGTCTGTATCTGTAGCTATATTGTTATTTCACTTTATTCAATTTATTCATCTGTAAAATCTTAACTTTACAATTACATTTAATCCTGTTCGATCCCAAAGCTAATAAAACTTTGAAAATATTTCTGCGAAATATTTTTTTGCTTTAGGCCCCAATTTGTGTTGGGCCGCCCTCGATTCTAATATATTAAACAACTTGTTAGCCAATCAAATTATAAAGTTTAGGTACACAGAATTAATCAAACCTTGCAACACAAGGATTCCCACTGTTAAACAAATTATCATACTTTCTAAAATCTAACATGCAAAAATCCCATTCATGACAGATTTCGGAAATCTAGTCTTACGCGAAACATTATGTATTTAGATTCGTAAATCACCTTCTCATATCACTCAAGAACCGTTCTCAAAAACCACAAACCCTAAAAAGCTTTTGAACCATTCTCAGACCCACAAACCCTAAAAGTTTTTGAACCAATCTCATAACCCACAAACCCTAAAAAGTTTTTGAACCATTCTCAGCACCCAGAAACCCTAAAAGTTTTTGAACCCCGCTCATTAGTTGTTAACCACTTCTGAAGACTTACATCTGCTCCATCAATGGCGAAACAACCGGATGATGCGAAAAGTGCTTAAGAACCAGACGTGAAGGTCATAAAACTATCCAAGAAAGAACACATATAGCAACAAGAAAACATAGAGAAACAAGGTGGAGATTCAAGAAAGGTACCGCAATATTAGCTGTTTGGTGACTGGATCAAGAACGACAGGACGACTGTGAAAAAAGGTCATCTGCATTTGAACGTAAAAGAAAGGTACGTGAGTCTGATGGTGTGGTCGATGATTCGATCAAGAAGTTGAAAGTAGGAAAAGCACAAACAGCTTGTGAAGGTGACAAAAAAGAGAAGCGATTGAGTGCTTCTATTCAGCCGTTAGGTTTCTTGATCTTGGTTGAAGACAAGAACAACAACGAAACGAGTTCATCAGCTTGTAATACAACCAACAACAATGGAAAAAAAGAGATTTATACTTACTTGAAGCTTAATAACAAATTTGGTGGAATTATCAAGAAGCAAAAGATGAGAGATATCAAGAACTTGAAAGCAGAAAACTTACGACAAGCTCGCAAAGACGAAGAAGAAGAAAGGCTTTTGGGCGTGTCTTTGAGACTAAAGCTATACGAGGATCCATGGCAGATAAAGAAGAAGCTGACCCACAATGATATCAATAACTCATGCTATTGTTGGCAACAAACTTGGTGGAGACAACTGTTACCTTTCTTAAAAGATGACATTGTCGATCGTTGTAAAACAGCAGAGGGAAATAGAATGATTGTATATGATATTGATACAGCCTCTGAACATAGGTTGACACTCAAGAGATGGTGTACGAATAGTTACGTGATTACTAGCAACTAGAAGAAGGAGTTTGTGAATCGGAGGCAGCTGGGTGAGAACGATGAGATCGGACTTTTTTGGATAAAGGCAGTTCAAGGCTATACTTTTGCCTTCTGAAGAAGGCTGATTGATTGACAACAATTTGTAATATTTCTACTATTGCGGGACCACGTTACTTAAATTCAATTTGTTAACCTAATTCGCTTGTATATTATTACAGAGAATGAAGCTCTTGAATTTAGTTTAAACTTATTCAATGCCGTTCGAAAGTTTGAATGTGGATGATGTAATTGCAAGTAGACTGAAAATTTTCTTAGTTTAGGCAATTGTTTTAGAAGATGCTTATTTATTTCTTATTTTACTTGTTTTAGGTATTTAGAAATTTCTTATTATCTATAGGGAAGGATTACCAAATATTACCCCAAAGATTAAGATTCAATCGAGATGAGTTATGACGTAATATCATCAACTACAAACAATCCTAAATCGATCTCAGACTTCTTAAACCCATTTTAAGTAGTAATTTTGACCCAATGGAGTCGTAGCTTTCTCAATTGTTTTTCGATTTTCAATACATTACCTACTTCAGTACCATACTCTTTCCACTAACAATGTTGAGTCACATTCAGGCATTGCATCCAGTCCACAGAAAGCGAGATCGAAAGAAATGCAATTTAGACTGCTAAATTCTTCACATATTTTGCTTAGGGTTCTGCAAATATGAAGAAATCTTTACAATGACCACTGCAATTCTACTTCTGTATCTTTCCCCATGTTTTCCCCTTCGTCAGTAATCAAACTGAGTACATAATTACACAATTGTTTAATGATCTAAAATCATTTCGGTGGTCCGAAGACAATCTGCTTCTTTTCGAAATTGCTTCCCAAAACACCTTTGATCTACAAGGATGGACAAAATGGTCGAACTCATCCCATGCAATTCACTATGATCTAAGTAGAATGAAGTCTCTGCTTACCTCTTAGGATACAAGAATATTTTATGAAGAATGTCAGTCCAATTTACAAACAAGGGTTGCGAAACTGCGTTGCCTCTGAAATTGCTTGTTTACTGTCGTCGCTTGGTGGGCTTAATAGCAGAGGAACTGCCAGCAGTGGTCTTTTTGGAACCTGAGGAGTGTTTTTAAGAAGAAAGAGACCATATAAAGATTAGTTCAGGTGGTTTATGTGCAAATAAGAGAAAGGATGTTATACTGGTAGTAATGGTGGCAGGCTGAGCTAGTTCAGCAATCTATTATCTTGATCCCCTACAGAACTCTCATGTCTTCATCCGAGTAAAACCACTCACAAAAAAGGAAAAACAAAAACAAAAACCCTTGGCTTTCCATTTTTACACCCACACAAAAAGTTTATATTTTTCAAGAACCAAAAATAGCTTACATACCCAGAAGATGATAGATAAAGCTATGGATTTATAGAAGGGGGGGGGGGATCACAAAAGAAAAATGTACCAAAAATGAATGCAAGAAATTATGGAACAGAAGATGCTCTAAACCTAATTTTAAATAAAATTTACATACTTGAAAATTTCGATGAGCCCTTGGTCAGTGACAACTGAGAAGTTCCAATTTGCGCCTGCTTTTGTGGGGGTCTCGGAAGTTTAGCTGGCACCTTGGGCCTGCAATTGACCACCATAAAGACAGGCAAATTTGTAAACTCATCGAGGTTATTAAGCAGAAAAGTCAAGGATCCAGTTTTCCGGATAAAACTTCAGCATACTCGGATGCAGTGCATGCAATAAAGCCACGATCTATAATACAAAACAGGGCAAGATTCAATAAGCCCATACGATAATCTCAAACAGACTCATCCAAAGGCTACTAACATTCTTCTCAAAACCATTCACATTGCACCTTACCTTCAGGTATGGGTTACCCTAATACCAATAAAAGATGAGTATAAGAGAAATAATTAAAACTACTTTCTCACATTGTGTACAACTTATATATGATATCAACCGTACTGCTAGATAAAAGCGAAGAAAAAAAGCATGCCCGACCAACAGATCTTTCTCATTCTTCCGAGAAAGACCCACTTTTTGCTCAGTCATCAGCTTGCATAGGATCATAACCATGAGCAGTCAGTACAAAAGCGCCTCACTGGCTTACATATCAAGTAACGGAATTGTCAACATCAGTGGCCTAGTCAATGCCAACAGAATACATGCAACAAACCAGTAAATAGCCTGGAATAGAACATATCAAAGACAACATGGAATAGAAGAAGAAAACTAATTTTTTGTGTTATGTGCTAGACTGCTAGTACACCTTCACAATACAAGGGGGCGTTATATCTTCCAACTAATGTTCATTATCCTTGCAGCAATTCTTCACCAGTAGTTTCATAAAAATCTGTCATGGCTGGAATAATGCTGATACTGACAACATATTACATGCAGGCACATAACAGTTATTAACACCAAAATAACAAGAAAGTTCGGATAGGACATAAATGAATCCCTATTCTATACATTACCAGATATGTACATACTATATGCTTCCTCCATAATTGTAGGTAAGTAGATAATGGGGGTTGGGCTGAACAAGCCTCCAACAAAGATTCAAACTCATTGAGATACAATATTTCATTGTCCAGCTGAAGCATGCATCAGGAAATTCAGAGACCTTGTGCATATTCAGAAACAAAAAAAAAAAAAAAAGGCAGCTGTTGAAAGAAATAAAACAGATGTGAAAAGACATCTCGAGGCAAGATATTTGCAATTTGCAGTAAGTTATATCTAATAGAATAAAGGAATTTAATTCAGATTTCATGGAAATTAGCAAAGGATTTCCCGCTGCATGGACCTTGTTAAAGATAATAGCAATTGGTCAAGTTTGAGAACAACTTGCAGTTCAAAATATTTGAAATGCACAGGAAAGGATAAAAATATCCCAGTACTTATACTTCAGCAGCACTAAAAAGCTTCCAGGATAAGAAACACTCACTTCTCTATGTTTTCTGCTGGTGGCTTTGCAGTTTCAGGGAAAAGAGTGAACTCCACAATACTATTCATTGAGCCATCAGTTTCTGTTCCCATTGAAAGAACACCATCAGATATGTCGCTTAATCTCTCTTCGGAATCTGCATCTCCCAGTCCCAGGAGCTCAACATCTTCCGCAAGATGTTGACCTCCAAGTGCTACCACAGGCCTTGACTCAATGTCTTCAGTTAAATTTTGATCACCATCTGCTACAACAAGCCTTGACTGGTGAAAAAATTCCTTGTGATGTCTAAAGTCATCCACCGACTGCTGGGAACCAGCTTCAGAATGCTTATCACTGTACTCTGAGCTGTCCAAATCAGAAGTTGCTTTCTCAATAAGTCCTGAACTTTTGCCTCCTGACGGTGAACGGCGCTGCCGTGGAGCCCCAATAGAGTGTCTTCTAGGAGAGGAAGACCCATACCTTGGCGAGCCAATACCACACCTCTCACCAACTACATTAGCTTTATTCATCCGCAATCGTCCAATCTCCTCATCTTTCTTTAAAATTGTCTCTTTCAGAAATGCCACCTACAAAACTAACAGAAAATTAGGGGAGAACATAAAAGCTTGATGAAAAAATATTTAAGCATTAGAAACTTGAACTGCTCTTTGATTCAACAAGTGGAAGAGCAAAAGCAACATACTGGCAAGTGCCTCAACTTCTTAGACCATACCAACCCAGATGTAGATTGTATAGGGAAACAAAGTATTGCAATTAAAATGTCAGATGCAACTTTGCTGAGACTCTCAAATTATTCAAAGGATAATTGCAAATATCAATTCCATGTTCTCAATCAGTTATGTAATTTTCAATTACTACTATATCAAAAGCTATCCATATCAAAAATTCAAGTACAACTGGACAAATCCACGACCCTCATTCAAATTTCTGCTAGGTAGAATAAGAAAGACGGATAACAGTCAACAATGGTGATAACAGGCAAGTGCTAATACCATGGAGTTCCCAAAACTTATACATTGTCCAATTTCCCTTTACCTCAATACAATGTTTCTTTTTTCTCAAACCCAATATAAAGTTTGCAAAGGCCCTTTTACCAAACTGGTTAAATTTTTTTAACAGTCTTTTGCCAAACTGGTTAAATTTTTTTAACATGTGGCAATAATATATGTCATAGGACTTCTAAAATTAAAATGAGAGAGCATATTACCAACACAATTACGAGAGCCAAGAAAATCATTTCTAAAGTACCTGGTCCATAAGTTCCCTGACTCCCCTTCCCTCTTTGTTGCTTCGTGCGGCACCTAACTCAACACCAGAAACCCTCTCAGCAAACTTCAAGGTACTTACAGTTTCAGAGTAGGACTCTACATCAGGATTGAGTTGTACAAACATAAGAGTCTTTGCTTGGCCCCCTATTATGTGCAACAACAGAGAACGAAGAACAAATTAAGCAAATACTTAAAGAAAATGTGAACCCCCAGTATAATGTTTATGATGACATTGATAAGGGAAATTTGTCTAATTACCCAGAGAGCTTTGAAGAACTTGAGTTAGTTTGCTATTTCTATATGGCACATGATGACTCTTTTGCGCCAAAGCAAATATAACATCTCCCAGAGCGGAAAGAGACTTGTTTATATGTTGTGCTTCCCGCAGTCTATCCCCTTTTGCTTCAGAGCGATCTACTCTTTCACTGCCAGCAAGATCTACCAAATGTAGACTACCGCGAAGGACAGCATTGGTCTCCAAGTCAGTCCCTCGCACATGAACAGTGAGGACACTGCAGCATATGATTGAAGGGAAAATAAGTATCATGAAGAAAATCGCTGAGTGACTACAAATATGAACATACATATATGTCCAACAAACCTGTGAGACCGACTGCTTCTTTCATTTAGGGCGGTGGCACCAACGGCCCTATTCATTAGTCCAATACTCATCAATTCAAGGACATCTGTGGTTGATTGAACAGGATGCATACTAGCATCAGGGACAGCTAACCCATTTGGTTGAGCAATATTCCAAATCCCAAGTGTGTGCAAGTCAAAGGAAACAATCATCTAAGAAAAAATATCTCATTTCTACCCAAAACAGCATCACATATGAATCCATGCAATACAAATATGCAATTGCCAAAAAAGATATCAAAAAAAATAATACTGACAAATATCCGCAGTGCATTTGAAAACAGAAATAATCATGTCATGGAGTAATTCCCAGTTATGGGAGGAAAGGATATCTTTTCTGAGTACTGTCACTAGAGAGTAAGTCGCGCACTTGTTCATTATATATTTCAACCATTTGAACACCCACTTCATAAGCAATAGAATTTTTTCTGCTCTGAGAGAGATGGAAAAGGTCATTCAGAGCTCGGTAGTTTACTCCCCAATCCACTTCAGAAGATATATTAGGCCCAGTCTAGGAGAAATGAAGGAAAAAATGCAATACATCAGACTTGAGACACGAAGCAGTAGGATAATATTTTACTATATAGTTACAGAAAGATACAAACCATAGTGTAAGTTTTTCCAGAACCAGTTTGACCATAGGCAAAGATGCAAACATTGTATCCATCAAGAACAGAGCGAATTAGTGGTCGAGTGTCCAGAAATACCTCCTCTGCCAACACATTAATTACAGAAAAAAAGAGGTGGAGACTCAGAAATGTTCTCCAAACAGGAAAAACATTGCAAGTAGAAAAAATATGGCATATATTTGCTAAAAAGTATAAAAATTAAAACCTTGAGTGGCTGCAGGACCGAAGATCTTATTGAATTTGAAGAGTCGATGACTGTCTTTTCCTTGTTTTAGGGGATTTGAAACAACCAGTTCCCCATTCTCACCAATATACTCTATACTCGTCTGCTTTTTGCTTTGTCCCGAAAGGAAAGGCCTTATTCGACAGTAAACTCTAATATTACCTGGGCATTGAGAAAATAGCGTTAATTAGCAAAAAAAATGAATTGTAGACATAACGCAACAAAGCAACGGTAAATGGGATACACATACCTTTCAAATCCTGAACCTCATTGTACAATTTCCTATTTTCCTCAAGGACAGTGTGGTAATTCTGTGCAGCATCTACAAGTCCTTTAAGCTTCAACGCTGTTGAAGGCAAAAAGTGTCCATCATGACAATGTCAAGCACAAATGCACCATTTTGAAAAAAAGTTAAAACTATCCATCAATTCACCAAAGGTATTAAACTCTTCACAATAGATCCTTTTCGTGTTCAGAACCTGCTGCTTCACGGACTCAGAAGTCATCCTTAAGTCCTAAACAATTTAATATCTTCATGTCATTCAAACAAACAAACAAAAAAAAAAGGTATATATCAAAGCAATATAAAGTTATAAGTATGATAGTTGATGCAAACCTGCAGAGATCCAAACTGAAAGTCTAAAAAGCTTTTGTAGCCAAGTTCTTTTCTTTTCCATCTCATAGATTTGGATTTTGAAAATGCCTCTAGTTCTGCAACCTTCTTCCTTGAATCATTCAGAATGCACTCAAGTTCCACGATCTTCTTCTCTAAATCAACTTCAGTCTCCTTAGCCTTTGTTTCCAATTGCAAGCAACGCTTTTCATATGCCCTTTTGGCTGATTCCATCTCTTGCGTAAGTGCTGAAATCTGACTATCACTGTGATCCTTCTCTCTCATCAGTCTAATTACATATTGCTCCTCAAGCTTTTTCTTCTCCTCAGTTTTGGTCTTCTCAATCTATAACAAACATTAATTCCAGTAAAACAAAGTGTGAACCATCTTTAGTAGGAGAGGATTTTTTTTTTTTGGGGGGGGGGGAGGGAGGAAGGAGACTTGATCCCTTGACTTTAAGAAGGCAACGCCTTTACAAGACAAGGAGTACCAACTAACTTGGCTAGGACATGGCTGCCATTTTTAGCTTATTGGTAGTGCAGAAAAATAAGTTGACAAATGAGTTTATTCTCCAAGTCAGCTTACACAGAACTCCGTGTTTCTCTAAAATGGATAGAACCAACTGATTCAGAATGTTAAGGATGAAAGATGAGGCTTATGAAAATAGTAAAAAGAGGATTGTGTAGATACGAAAAATATACCAAAATGAGATGAATAAAGAAGGAACGAACTAAAATGGTCTGGATATGATCAAAGAAGGCCCATAACTGAACCTCTGTATTGGCAATATCGCTAGGGTTGAGTAATTCAGATCAACATCACCAGGAATAGTAAAAAGGGTATGATAACTTAAAGTTCCAAAGATACATGGCCTTAGACAAAACCTGGTAAATTAATATTAATTAGACCCCAAACAGTTCCCAAATAATGCAAACAAGGTTTTTTGAGTTAAGGCTTTTGTGAAAATAAATACCAAGCAGCCACAAGCTTTAGAGCTTGGCCCAAGTGGTAAAAGATTAAGGTCATGTAAGTTTGGGGCATGCCAGACATTTGAATCTTGCCCAGTGGTCGACAAAATTAAACAGGGTAAATTGCACCAATATTCCTGAGGTTTATCACTTGTTGCACTTTAGTTCTTAAAACTATAATTTTGTCAATTTGATCCTCTAAGTTCACAAATTGGGACAACTCATCCTTTGCACTAACTTTCATCAACAAAATAAACAAAAAAAAGGCACGTGCACGACACATGAAGATAACTAAAGGACATTTAAGTCATTTAAGGATAAAAACTACAATAAAGGAATTCACATGTAGTATATGATTTTTATACATAAGTGTACAAATTCAAACATCTCACAAATTTACCCAAAAGAAATGAAGACCTCTCAAAATACTCTCTCTTACTCACTCAACAACTCTCTCTCTCTAACCCCTTGTAATATTCTTCCACCACTTGCAACATCTACCTCCCCCTCCCCATTGAAATCAACCAACCCCCCTCCCCACCAAACACTTTACCCTACCATACCATCTCTATTGTTTCTTTCCCTATCCAAATTAAGTTTATGCCGCACCAATCTGCGAATACCCTTTTCCCTTCACCCCCGAAAACCCCACCCCCACCAAACCCTTCTATGTTTTCTTTCCCCTACCCACATCCTCTCTCTCTCTCTTTCTTCCCCCACTGACATGGAACTCTCAAATTCGCCCTTCTACCTAGGGGTATAACTCGGGCACGTTGGGCGGTCAACCCTAACCCAACCCTAGGTATATAATCTTAAACCCTAATCCTATCTCGAATTAAGAAATTCAACCTGAGCACTGCCCGAGTATAATTCGGGTGAGCTCGGGTTGAATTCGGATTAATGATTTCAGACTACTTTACGGGTTCAATTCGTGTTGAGCCCAAATTAGACTTGTTCTAAACCTGATACATATATTACATAATATTCACTTAAATTAACAACCAACAATTTCAATCAAGTTTTTAACATAAAAACCATAATATTAAGAACTCAATGTTTGAGATAATGTCACAATCATATAAAACACAAATAAACACAACCAAAATCATTGTACAAACATAGAGTTCACTGCTTAAATAGTGAGTGAGGGAGGCATACAATGAAGACTTCAGAACAGATTAACCCTAAATTTAAAAATGTATTTATATGGTAATGAATATTCGGGTTGACCCGGAATATGAAATCTGGTTGAACCCGATTTTAATATTCAGGTTCAACCAGGTAATCCGAGGGATCAACCCAAGGCCCACCCAAATTGAATTCGGGTTGGAAGTTTTTGATCCAAGCTCAACCCAAGTATTAAAAACCCTAACTCAAGCCCTAATTTTTTTGGGTTGAAATCGGGTTAACCCGCCCAAGTTGCACCCCTACTTCTACCTCCCTCCGTTTCTTTTTGTCTCCCCCACCTTTCTAATTTATACTATCCATACTGCCCTATAAACACTCCTAAATCCTCTCTTTGTTTCTACACAATCATTCGAGTCATATGCTCACACCTCCCAAGGCATATGCAACCACAAATTTTGGTGGGTAATTTCACTAAGTCAATCAGATAGCCACAATAGATTTTCTTGGAGTCGAATGGAATGAGTAAATCCCCTCCATATGTTGACAGCTATTTCTCTCTTTCCATCTCTATCACCAATTGTCTCCAGAGTTTCGCCTATGTCCTAGATTGGTGGTTGATTGAGTTAATGAATGATGAAATAATATTGATGGTGTTGAGGATTAGTGTTGAATTGAATTGAATCATGTTTATTGTTTCAGATGTTGAATTGAATTGAATTGAATTAGTTGGAGTGGTGCTATCTGTGTGGTTGATGGAGATGCAATGGTGTTGGGATTGAGAAAGAAACAGAGAGAGGCAAATTAGAGAGAGAAGTGAGAAGGGAAGGACCTGGTTTGAGGAAGAGAGATGCAGAGCTAATCGGGGAGAGAGAGAGAGAGAGCAGACTGTTTGCTGTGAGCTTGTGGCTTGTGTGTGAGTGTGAGAGGGGAAAAAATAAGTGAGGAAGAAGTAGGGTGTTGGGTACATGTGTATTTGTGCAGATGAAGAGTAATGATGCTTGGGTGTAAGATTTATAACAAAATACCAGATATACCCTTTCATAGTTGCATGTGCTATGCACATGTCTTTTTCCAATTATTTTTTAGACAAAAGTGAATATGAAGGATGAGTTGTCTCAATTTGTGAACTTAGAGGATCAAATTGACAGAATCATAACTTTGAGGACTAAAGTGCAACAAGTGATAAACCTAAGAGACTATTGGTGCAATTTACCCAATTAAATAAATGAAAAAATACTGTTTTCTGAATAATACCAGCAATCCAATTTAAGAATCAGTAAGATTGAAAATCTGCCATAAATTGCAAATTAGAAACTGTCTCCCAAAGAAAAGGAAATGCACCTTTATCTGATGAAGCTGGTTCATAACAACCTACAAGAACTCAAGCCAAAATGTGAAATCAAACGAGTGAATAAGTACAACCAGCAAAAGCGTAGGTTTACATTCATAACCACTAAACAGAGTACCTCATTGTGCTCTGCAGTTCCTATTGCAAGGGTCTCAAGGACTCTTATTTTTGACTGATACTTCTCTTCACGAGACTTGTAAAGACTGTTTTGCTGCAGGTACAAATTAAAATCAAGATATTCATTAGTTATACACGAGATAATGGTGCAGGGACAATAATTTCCGAATCAGTTTACCTTTTTCATATCTTCAGCTAGCCTTGAAACCCGCTGCTCAACTTCTTGCAAAACTAATTTTAACAAAGATGCCACAAGCTGAGCAAAGAGTTACAAACCACTAGTTTAGAAAATTAAGATGTAATAGGCAAAGAGAAATTAAAGTGAATCATCATATGTGTGCTTTAATGATACTATATCCATTTGCCTCTAATTGCCATACCTGAGGTATATCCGCATTCTTTCTCTCGATGCTTTCATCCAGAATCTTGTTAACAACACTAAAAAGTGATTGAGTAGAGGCGTTCTGCACATAAGAGTTTCTCAAAAGGATATGAACAGCATTGAGCTGATAATGCGATAAAATGAAATGTAGAACCAAATTAACCAACATTAAAAGATGCCTTTACATAAGGAAATAACACAGGGAACTACCTCTAAACCGTTTAGTTTCATCAATTCTGAAATCTTTGCAGCAGGAAGATCAACAAAAGATCCTTGCTTCAATTGGAAAACGTCTTGGAATTTACTCCCAAAATTATGAATAGATGCAGCCGATGGCCCTAAGGAAGAGAAACACTGATATATTAGATTGAGACATAATAAATGGAGTGAAAAGAAAAAAGCGTGTGCAATTGGAAACCTTAGTAGAAGAACTTGTCAAAACTTTAAACCCAACCCCTCCTACCCATTTTCTCTCCTCAAAAATTTCATGAGGGACTATTCTTAAAAAACTAAATGCAACATAATGCTTTTGTTCATTCATTAACTGGAATAGCTCACAAGGACAACACCTAGATTCCTGCAATTGCAGGCATTGTGTCACATGCTGGATAAAGTATTTAAGATGCATGGGATTTACGTAATAGTAAGTGAAGGTTAACCAGCATTTAATATGCACAGTAATTCAAATGAGCATAATTATGTACATCTAATCTCAGTATAGGCAAGTTTTTAAACTTTGATCCAACTTAGAATGTGGGGGACTTGAAAATTGTATTAGATTACATAATTTAGGAAAATTTTGAAAGTAATTATTAAAAGGGAGACAAATAAAGCAAGTCTACTCTGTTACCGCAAACTTCAACTGAGCCTTTCAAACTTCCTGTTTGTTCAGCAACATCTCCATTTAAGTCGTTGGATTCTCCATTTTCACTTGAATAAACCTCTGAACGCAAATTCATGATAAACTCGCTAGATACCTGATTTCAAGAATCAAATGTGGACACAGAGCTACAGGTTCCATGAAAATATTGTTAATCAGATAGATTATAGACTACTCAAAGGCAGAAGGGATTAAATGTCGGGAGCAGACATTACCTAGAAATGTATAAATTTTGAAAAGCATAAGGCATGTTGTGTATCATTAAGATAGCCATTAGGATTTCAATTCCAATTAAGACAAAGAATTCATCATGTCTTCTAGTACAGTAGTAGTCGTTGACAGTAAGTTATATTAACCAAGGAAAACAGGTGGAATTTTCTTCCAAAAATAACTTTCCATACTATATCTAGCTCAGATAAGGTAATAGGAGGCTTCACAAGTCATAATCAAATTTTGAGTTTTCGGTTAGATCAGCTTGTGTGGAATTATTGAATGAGCATGTCAAAAACAGAGTAAACCGGAAATGCTCAATATGAGGGAGTAATAAAAATGATTATCATTTTCGACCATCTGGCTGGAGACATGTCTTCCAAATGACAAAAATAACTAACTAGATCTCGTAACTAGCTAACCTTTACCGCTTTGATGAGTTGAATCAGAGGCATGCCAATCTTCTCAAAATTTAGTCGAAGCATCAAAAAAACCCAAATATTTCTTTTTCTTTCAATAGGCATTTAGCATGTCTCATAGCCTCAGTTAGACAACCACTAGTGACCCAACTATCACAATGAAAAGGTTGAAATTCACCGCTATATATGGTGACATGATAGAAAAGAATAAAAACTTTCAGTAGCAAATTACCCAAATACTACCAACCTAAATCACAAACTAATCCCATTACCTAAAAAGCTAAATATTCTAAGAAACAATAGCTCTACTTTATGCCGCATCCGCATGCGTAGTATACAAGCAATTACGTTCAGTTAATTGAAGACTTCTATATTGAGACATATAGCTCGGAATGACTGCCAATCCGGTGCACAAGAAGAGGCACATTTGGAGCTTTACAAAATTAGAGCCAAAATTTACAAAATCTGGAGTACTATGACCTCCAGTAGAAGCAATTGAGCTAGTAAATATGTAATTTGCTCAAAATGAATGCAATTACACTGAATTTATAGGCACATTTGAAAATTTAGCAACTTTTAAAAAGGAAATTTAGGTAATTTTGGAGTTCCCACACCTGTCAAACAAAAATTCAAACCAACGTGAACCAAATGAACCTCAAAATAAAGATTTACAAGCATTTGCGAAGCAGATCCGCATAAATCCACAGAAAAGCACATATAATGGAGCAAATGTGGGTAAAAGTACGCACCTGATGGTACCGAAATGTAAAGAGATCTTTGTGAGAAAAAAAGGTTTTTGGAACGAACAGATCCAGAAATTTATGGGAGTTTTGTGATATTTTACCTACCGATAAATACTTTTTCCCAAACTGTTTCTTCCTGTTTTCTGAAAACGAAAACGAGAAAACAGCTTGGGTACCCGATTTAGTGAGGTGAGAGAAAGCGGGACAACGACGACAAGGCCTATATCTCAGGGATTGCTGGGTTTTGGGGGACGTTAGCGTTTCCTTTTTGCGTTTGAGTTTTCGCTTTTGAATTTTTTTTTTTTAAAGTAACCCGATTATATTTCGGAAATTGTATTTGTGACCCCACACACTAATTTTGGACTCCAATTCCCGCCTTCTGCCACATGTTTTGTTTTGGGACTTTTGAGTGCGATTGAAGGTGTGGTCCCACTGGGCCGGCTTTTTGAAGTTTCCCCCACACCCTTAAAATAAACAAAACAAAACACTTTGTATATCACTTTGTACTTTTCTGCAATAACTAGTCCGGCATCTCGAACGGCAATGATCGAAGAAAAATATACTTTGACCTTAATATTTTATATTAGCAATATTTAATTTGGCAATACTTCTAGAAATATTTAATTTGGCAATACTTATATTAGCAATATTAAATATTAAAATATTTAATATTTTAATATTTTATATTAGCAATACTTTGACCTTACTATAATATTAAAAATCAAACATTTGATTATACAACATTTATATTTGGGATAAATACAAAAAAGAATTATATATATTTTGGGTCATTTGCACGTGACCTCGTCGTAATTTAACGATTGCACTAAACTCCACCTCAACTTAAAAACAAATTATAGCGCTGAATATCTATTATAAAAATTATAAAAATACCCTCATTTAGTCGTTTAATTTTTATTTCAATACACTTTTTTGTAGCTAAAATAAGATTGATGATTAAGTCGAACTTATTTTTTTAAATGAGCCAAAAAATTTGTTCAATATTGGCTCGTTTAGAAAATGAGTAGAGCCGAAAATGAGCCAAGTCCGAATAATTTGACTATTTTACATATAAACGAACTAAATTTTGTGAGTTTAAATCAAATTTTTTAAAACACGAATCTAAAAAAATATTTAAACTCGATTCGTCTAAAACACAAGTCAAACTCAAATCAAGTCTTATACGAACCAAATATAAATCAACTTAATTATCAGTTCTAACCTCAATTCCTTCTCTCTCTATACTTTTTTATCCCCCTCCATCTCTGCAAACCCTCTCTCCTTTCCTCGTCCAAAACCACCCATCGAAACTCTCCCACCTCAACCATCTCTCTCTATACTTTTTGTACCTCTCCCACCCTATGAAACTTTTCCACTACATCAAATTTTTTTTTACATTAGATAATTTAAAATTAAAATAAAGAGAGGTAAGAAAGGAGAAAAAAAATAGGTATAAGTGGATTAGTGTGATTGTTTGACATTAAAGAGTATATTGATTGAATTGTCTGATATTAAAAATCGTAAAGAGAAAATTATATTTTGAGGAAAAAACAAGTAGGGATGAATTTTATAACATTAAAAAAATATATGAAAATTAAATCGAACTTAATCGTTATTATATTTTTATAAATTAATGATTTATCATGAGAAATATAATATTATAATGTAAATTCCCTAACATTAACATCAAACACTAAATCAATGGCGGTAAAACTCACCACCAGATAATAAGTTGCTCGCCTCACTTGCTCACTTATTTTATTTAGGGTAAATTTCACTACTACCATTAGATTTAAGTTATGTTTCACACATATTCCTTATGATCTAAAATATTACTGTACGTCTATATAGTTTATATATATGTTTCACAAAACTACCCGAGTTATCTAATGTTGTTATTGACAAGTAAAAAATGTGTGATATGATGACTTATTTATATAATAAAATAGTTTATAATTCAAATCTCAAAAGATAAATTAAATGACTTTTGCTATTCGCGGTTAAGATCATTTTAAATTTTATTTTAAAGTTAATATAATGGTTAATATTAATACCTTAAATTTAATAGAAAAAATAGACCTTAAGGGTGTGTTTGAAATCACTTTTTAAAAGTACTTTTATAAATTATTTTTCGTAAATACTTTAAAAAAAAATAGTGTTTGAAATTGTTCCACCACCTACCACCACCATCACCATTGTCGCTGCCACCACCACTACCGCCGTCGTCGCCACACCCGTCGCCACCATTGCCACTCCCGCCATCATCGTCACCCTCACCATCGCCAGAACCACCACCACCCCCAACGTCACTGCCATCACCACTATCACCGTCACCGCCGTCACCCCCACCATCACCACCACCACCGCCATTGTCGTCGCCACCGCTACCACCACCATCCTCGCCGTCACCACGGTTATTGCTACCCACCACAACCATCACAGTCTCCTACCATCACCATTGTCACCCACCACGTCTTACCCTCACTACAAATCGATACTTAAATTATTTCATCAATTCTCTATATTTATAATTTGATTTTAGATATAAATATAAATATAAATACAAATATATTTATTGTTTACCATTTTTTATTACTCTGTACCTTCAGGCACAGACAATAACTAGTTCTCTTATAAGTTGTCAAATTTATCATTGGTCTTAAAATAATAGGAACACATATTTGTAGTATTAATGTAATTAAATTAAATATTAATTGAATTGAACAAAATGTTTCCTATAAAAAAAAGAAAAAATATTATATTCAAAAAATTTAATGATCATTTGATAAGATTGAATGTTAATTTGAAATTCAATAAAAAAAATTGATGTTAATTTGATAAATTAGATGTTAAATTGATGAAATTAAATGTCAATTTGGGTTTAATTTGATGAAATTAAATATTAATTTAGTGTTAATTATATAAAATTGAATATTGATTTTCTAAGATTGAATATTAGTTTGCTGAAATAAAATGATAATTTTATAAAATTTAAGATCAATTTTACATTAATTTGGTTAATAATGGTAATATCAGGGTAAAATTGAATAATACTCTTGTAAAATGAGAGTTCTAGTAAGGGTAATTTAGTAAAATTATGTATTCGGTTATGTCACACAAATTGATATCGGTGTGCAGTGATAATTAGATGGAGTATTAGTAAAATATGACTTAAATAAAAGGGGTGTTAGTGAAATTTGCCCTTTGATTTATTGTCGGTCAATAGTTACAGAGTTAAGTTGAGTTTGAAAGTGAGGCCTAAGAAAAAAATGGAAGGAGAACGAGAAGCAGAAGAGTCTAATCTCGATTCAAAAGCTAAGCTAGAAGCCCTAATTTCAGATACGGAAGCCAATAATATAGTAAGACATCAAATGAATTCCCAAGAGCGAGAAGAAGAAGATGATGATTCTCGTGGTGGCGAATCGAAAGTGGCATCGTTTGACCAGAAGGATATAATGAAAGCGCTGGAAGTGGTGGAGAGAGACTCGGTGGCGATCGCCGAGAGCTTCACTTCTTTGTTCACGTCTCTCCGTCTCGCCCTCTCTGAGGTCTGTTTGGCTATCCACATGCTCAATTCCTACAAAAAAAATTTATTTATTTTTTGTTAATTTTGGACATGATGATAGAAATTATTATTGTTATTTGATGCATATATTGGAAAATGAACGCCTTAAACGTCTCTGATTGCTTCCATTGAATTTATTTTGCTGTAAACGAATGTTGGAGTGTTAATTTGGGCTGCATTTTGTTTAAGAAGAAATATGAACTGAACTCTGCGGTAATAATAGATTGTTTTCTTTGATTTGAAATTCGAAGCAAAATTCATTTCTCTCCCCACCATTCTCAGCACTGTTTCTGAAGCAAAATTCATTTTTCTATACACCAATCTCAATACTGTTATCAGAAACCATTTTTTTGGTTTGAATTGCGTGTGAAAATTCAGTGTTTTGGACATGGTTTATGCGATTATGGGAAAAAAACTTGGGAGGTTAGTATCTGGGATATAATGCAGGATGGTTGACCAGGTAGTTCACACTCTTAAATTTATAGGTTAATATGATTTGCTTTTAGAAATGGAAATCAGTAAGCAATATGTGTAGTGAAGTAACTATTTTTTTTACAATGGTTTATTGGTGTGGTTTTACTCTCGTCAGGCACACACGACTGGCAATTTTATGCCCATTTTTGTTAATCACTCAGTGGGATTAATGATACCCAATCAAAGTGCTAAACAATGGATTTAAGTTGACCATAACACTAATATTATTTTCTAGGACTAAATTGGATCTCTAGATGTCATATGGTTGAGTTCTTTCATATTCAATTGTCAATCTAAGGAGAGAATGTGATTTTGTAGGTCACTAGCACTTCAGTAGATCATATGGCTTGCTTCAGTGATGCTGCTGGCCGCCTTCAAGAATGTGGTGAGTGAACTATCCTTGTGCATATCGTGCTTCAATAGTTTGTTCAACAACTTACATGATGGTTATTAGGATTGAGTTTGTCGACTCTCACGTGCTGAAGAAAATAGGATAGCCATCTGCTTGTCATAGTTATCCTCTCGATTGGTTGCATTCAGTGTGACAATGACTCTTGTTGTAATAGCAAGCACAGTCTGACTGACACACTGCTTGGTAGGGGGAAAGAGCAAGGAAGAGAAAGGAATATCTTTAGCCCTAAGAAAAGAAAAGGGAAAGAAGTTAAATTTCCATTGGTTTTGATTATTTGGTTTGCTAATGAAGCAAGATAAGAGGTAGGACATGGACTTCTTACTCTTAATTTATTTTTTGTGTTTTCAAAAATCACATCCCTTCCCATCAAATATATCACTTTAAAGTAGGTGAGATTTGCAGAGAATTTAGTAGGGAAGTAAGGCATGACAATGTTAGGCTGGCTCCTGAATGGATGGCCTTTGTTTCTTCTCTGCTGCCTCATTGAAGGCCTGTTTAGCAATGAAATACTCCTTTTTCTCTTCCTAAAGGTAAAGTGAAGGAGGGAATTGAGCTGGAAATCATCCTAGCTTATTAGACAAAGAACAAATGAACGGATATGGTAGTGGAACCCTGGTTGATTGGATTAAACATCCGTGGAAATTTTCGAAATTTAGAATCTATGTGCTAAAAGTTAACATGATTCGAGGCAGTCAAAGGAATTATTATTGCTTTACCTTTGCCTTGTTTGAAGGAAATAGTTGCAACAATTTATTGTGTTATTTTGCATCATTGTTTTTAATACTGGGAGTCAACAATCTACTTCCTGCTTGTACATATATGCAAAGTTGTTAGTATCGTACGATACGCGATACGTATCGTACGATACGTTACGATACAGCCCTAAAACGATACGGATCGTAGTTATGTATCGTTTTTGCGTTGTATCGTCCGATACACGATACGTTTTTACGATACGATACGTATCGGTACGATACGCACGATACGTGCAATTTTTTTTTTTTTTTTTTTTTTTTTTTAAAACGACGTCGTTTTGTGCTCTGATTTTTTTTAAAAAAAAACGACAAGTGAAGACTTGTTGGCATCCGATCACAATGATGATGATGATGATGCATTTTCAATTGAAATTGAAGATTGAGTTCAAAATGGATGTTAGAAATTTGGATTAGAAGTCTCTTTGGTGTTTAAAGTTTGAATTAGTGAACTATGGTTGTGAACTTTGCATTATAATAGTAGTGGATTATGTTGATAACTTGAATAGTTGGTGGAGTATTAATGAAATGCTATATTTTTTATGAGTGTATGACTTTTTTTCAAAGGTATATATATTTTTTTATTATTTATTTAAAATTGCATCGTATCTTACGATACACGATACGATACACGATACGATACAATATTTGTATCTTACGATACGCCTTCCGATACACGATTTGATAACTATGCATATATGTACTTTGTTTGGTGGTGTTGCCATTTTGAATATACTAAGAACTTAGGAATCTCAAAGAATAATTTTACCGAATTTTGGGTCTGTGCGTAGGTTGTTTGAGAATTTAATCATTCACCTTGACCTCTACTCCATGGCTGCAGAGGCCTTATGCCATGACTAGTGTGCTACCTTTTAACAAATTGATCATACTAACCCATATAGAAAAGCTGGTGTTATAGCATGCCAAATGCTTTGGGGATACTTTGCTTTAATTTTTATTTTTCCACTAGTTTAGTTTCATTTTCTTATCATTTGTTTTTTTGAGGCTTTGACCTGGTGCATTGATTTTGGGGCTTATGTGATTTTTCTCTTTTTTATTGTGTTGTCTTGCAGCTCTTGATGCTGCAACAAAAGGGAATCGATATATAAACTCCTGTCTCAGGTATACTTTCTGATTTTCACCTTCACCAAAATGAGAAACAATGATGCTTTATAGTAGGCAATTCAGGGTCTCAGTGACCTGGAATCAGATCCAGGACAGGGAGTTTATACTTGCAAATGTGAGCTTTTTCTTGTGGATGACATGTTTTTCGACCACTTTTCCATTTCATTCTCATCTCACTAAATATTTTCTTTTTTTTACTTATAGGTTATTTTGCAGTCTTTTTTCTACAGCATGCTAGGGTTTTGCTTATTCTTATTTTCGGGATTGATTTGTTGCAGATTAAATGAAGAAATGAAAAGCATTGACAGTTTAGCCACACAGCTGTATCCTTTCTTTCTTTTCATAGTTGACTTGGGCTCTTTTTTGCTTATGGTTATGTGTGCATTTGTTTGTGTGTTAGATGGGAGTTAAGATTTCCTCTCTGCCTAAATAGTGTTGCACTTGGCTCCTTGAATTTTTTCTAATATTTGAAGTTCCAGTTCCACTTAATGGGTGCTGGCAGCTAGGTGGTAGGTGGCACCCGTGGAGCTTCATCAGATTGCCGACCAAAGTTTTCAAAATCATAATATATCATTAAATTGAAATGATTTCAAAACTTTTTTATAGTTTGAAGCAATATTTCCTGTTAGAATGCTTTTTCTTTACTCCATTAATGCTTGTGAAGGAAGGTGTTGAGAAGGAATGTAGACGCTTTGGACTCAGGCATCAGCAAGCTCCTTCGTCTTACATGATGTTGATCAGCTTGGCATATTGATATTGTCAGTCATGAAGACTTCTATGTCAATGTAAGTTATTTATGCAGGTTTTGCTTGGGATTTTCTGCAGGGTTATTCGAGAATTTCACCGTTCTTTTTCTAAGGTGCTATTCACTTAGAAAAACTTCATGTGATGTGAATGGCTGGCTGGAAATTACGACGATGTGTTTTCCCTTTTTTGCTTGAAGGGTGAAGGCACGGATTTTAAAAGAATTTTTGTACGCTTTTTATTTCATGCAGAAGCATTCTTTTACTTGTTACTGAATGATACGGCAATGTAACTATTACTAGTGTCCTAGTAAGCAAAGAATTGATCCCTTGAACTTGAATTCATGTTTGCTTCAGTGTTTGTGCAATCGTTATCTCCGAGTGAATTATTTAAATACGTGACTAGCAGCTAATGAGGCAGGCCATTGGTGATATATACTTTTCAAACCAATTTTAATACTTCAACGTACTGATTAAGGTGTTCTTATTATTTGTGACATTGATGCAATGGCCCGGCTGGGCTTGTGTCGCAATGCTCATGTTTTTTCTTGTGGCCCAATGGGTATGTCCATGGTCTTGGTTTGGGCTTCCTAGGCCTGACAAATTGATCCATTTAAAACCCAGAAGGCAGCCCATGGGATAATTTTTATACTGGGCCAGTGGCCCAACTGTAAAAAATTAAACTAGCCCTAACTGGAAAAAAAAAACAAAATTTTTTAAAAAAAATATAGGCCCATTGGGATTGACATGATTGGCAACATGCGACCTGTAGATCTTATAGTACAGCTGTTCAGCCTGTGCTACGCCATGGGCTGTTGGCTGGCGGGCTTCGTAGACCTGGGCCTTAGCTATAGCCATCTGAGCTATTCTCACTGTGTTGGGTTGGCACAATAACAACCCTACTGTTGTATGCAACCTTCATCCTTGGGTGACATTAGGATTATATTTCCCAAGGCTTTCGAGTTCTTGTATGCTCAAGCTCGGTTCAAGTTTGGTATCATTCGCTTCAACTCAGTTGGCTAAGTATTAGCTCGCCTCGGATCGTTTTTGTTGTATAAACTTAAATTGGAGCCATCCTTGGGATGAAAGAAAGTTTGTTAAGGAAAATGGTTGTAAAAAGTAATTTTCTCTGAAGATAGGTTTCTAAATTCTTGAATATTCTTTATTTCAAAGCTCATATACCAATGTCCCATCAACCTCATGTGTGCTTCATAAAGTATATTAATATAAGTACGTTGATAATTGTTTAAAATTCCATTTCCATTCCCAATTTAATATTCCTGATAAACCAGACACATTTGTACAATGTGCTAAAGTATCTTTGCCATGATCAATATTATAATAATGTCGTTTGTCTAATCTAAACATTATTTGAATATTAATAAACCCTCAAATATAGATCAAAAACCCTACCAAACATGCCATAAAGATGGATTTTTTTTTAATAATTCTATAATGAATTAAAAAATAAATTTGATTATGACATTTGGGGACCTTATACTTGTTTATAAGGAAAATAAGATTTTAAAAGAAACCAAGAAACATCCTAATGAAAGCAACCATTAGGTTGATTTCCATGAGTTATGTTATTAATTAATAAAAAAATAATGAATGTTTTTAATAATTAATTTCAACTTCTTTTATTGTATAAGCATTCATTTTCTACCTTACTTGCTAAAACTCGTCAGTAGGAAATAGTTGGAATCCACATAGGGGAGAGAGAGAGAGAGAGAGAGAGAGAGAATTAGGGGCTTATTAGGTGATTAGTCTTAATCCAACCATAGTGAAGAGGGTTTGCATTCTCTTTTTTAAAATTTTTAAATATTCACAAGCAAACTCCATTGTCAAACCTTGGAATTGATATTATGCAAAATTATTCTAAAATAGATTTCGTGAGAAAAACCTTGGAATTGATTTAGATTTCTATTTTTAATGTTTTTAATCACATTAAATATTTTAAATATACTTATATTTAAGTATAGTTACTTTAATCAAAATAAGTATTTTGAATCACAATTCAAAGAATAAAAAAACTGGCTTTGCAGTGGAGTACCTAGTTGCTGAATATGTAGTCAAAATGTTTTTTTTGTTGGACGCTGTTATACAGGGAGAAACAATGAAATTTTAATTGAAGATTTTAAGGCTCAACAATAAACGTAATAATCATTAGATCGACGACTGACTTCACGTAATCAATAATAGGAACAATGTGATTTTATCAATTATTATGTGGTCCGTACAAATAAAAATATATTTATATTTAAATATAGTAACTTTAATGAGAATAAGTATTTAAATCAGGACTCAAATAATGAAAAAGCTTACTTTGCAATGGAGTATCAAGTGGTCAAATATGTAATA